TAACGCCTCTCTCTCGGCGGCCCTAGCTGCCTCAACGGCTTCCTCATTAACTCTACTTGCCTCATTCTCCTTCCTCTTGATCTCCATCTTTAGCATCTCATTTTCTTCACTTATACTCTGCAACTGTGTCTCCTTGTCCAACAAACTGGCCTTCAGCTCGGCCAAAACAGCCTCCGACTTCTTCAACCCCGCCGCGAGTTCAGATTCCTCGCATTGCCCCGACAGATTCTTCCCGATTTTCAACCTCAATCCTTCGTTTTCCTCTGAAATACTCTGCAATTCGGTTTCTTTATCCATTAATCTAGCTTTCAACTCTTCGATACTCGCCTTTGCTTGCTTCAATTCCGCTACCAATTCAGCCTCTTTCTGCACCGACTCAGACTTTGTACGCTCGAACTGTTCACCTTCCTCCACTGATCCGACTGGACCTTTAACCTTCTCAACTCTGCTTCCATCTCCGAATTTGCAGCCTGCGCCGCATCTAGCTGCTCAGTCACCCGCGCAGCCCTCCTTCCGTTCTTGTTGGCCTCCTCCGTTGCGTATCCAAGCTTCATTAAAGCCTCTCTCTCAGCGGCCCTAGCTGCCTCAACGGCTTCCTCATCAACTCTACTTGCCTCATTCTCCTTCCTCTTGATCTCCATCTTTAGCATCTCATTTTCTTCACTTATACTCTGCAACTGTGTCTCCTTGTCCAACAAACTGGCCTTCAGCTCGGCCAAAACAGCCTCCGACTTCTTCAACCCCGCCGCGAGTTCAGATTCCTCGCATTGCCCCAACAGATTCTTCCCGATTTTCAACCTCAATCCTTCGTTTTCCTCTGAAATACTCTGCAATTCGGTTTCTTTATCCATTAATCTAGCTTTCAACTCTTCGATACTCCCCTTAGCTTGCTTCAATTCCGCTACCAATTCAGCCTCTTTCTGCACCGACTCAGACTTTGTACGCTCAAACTGTTCATAAGCATTTCTAATCTGCAATGTGCTTCGGATAAACTCTTCCTGATAACGCATCTCCGCTGCGTCTAGCGCCGATCTCAACTGAGCAACTTCTGATTTCGCGGAGCTAAGCTCAGATTTTAGCTCATTCAGTTCTTCACTTTCTCTGCGGTTTTGGCTGCTGCCATTGATCAGTTCCGCCTGGAGTTTGCTCACAAGACCCTCCAAAGACTTAACTCGAGTTTTCGACTGCTCGAGCTCTGCAGACAAGGAGTTAAAAGACTCCATTGATTTCATCCCGTCTTTGCGCAGCATTTCTATGGTCGAATTCGCGGCTTCCAACTGTGCCTGAGTCTTGCTGACTACTTCCATGGCCCGAGCTTCAGATTCCTTGCAATCCCCGAGTTCGACCCTCAGCTTCTGCACAAGATCGAGAGTTTCGGACAGCTCCAGCCTTAAATTCTCGACCTCAGCATGCGCAGACTCCACATGCCTGCTCTGGTTGGCCTCGGAATCAGCCACCCTCTCCAGCTGCGCCTTGAGCTTCTGAATTTCATTCATGGCGGAAGCAAAAGCAGAGGAATCCATGGAATGCTGCTTCTGGACAGCCTCGAGCTCGGACTGCCACGCCTTGTCTCGCTCCTGGGAGAGCTTACGGAGCTCCTGAATGCGGTCATCCTCGGACGTAGATAGCTCCATCAGATGCTGCTGCGACTCCTCAAGTTTCGCGGACATTGCCAGCATCTGGCTCTTGGCTTCTTCAGCCTCCTGCTGGGCTTGTCTCTTCCATGACTCCGCCGAGTTCAGTTGGTCCTTCGCCTTCTTCAGATCCTCCTGGAGTTGAGCGAGCAGCGACTCTAATTCGGAAATTCTGTTCGACCTCTGCTTCTTTTGAAGATCAAAAGCCAGAAATTTGGGAATTTAGATAAAAAATTCAGTATCAGTAATCAAAGTCTGCATCAAATACAATTATTTTAACCTATTGGCTCATAAGTTTGAACAGAAATTTGAATGTTTGTTAGAAAACCTGTAGCAAAAACTTTTGAATTATGGTTTAAACTACAAACTAAACAACATGTTTGAATTTCTTTTTATCTACATCTTGTTCCGCATCAAAAAGTCAAGAAATTTGCTCTGAAAATCATAGGTTATGATCAAGTCACATACCTCAGATACAGGACTCCGGGGCGATTTACGGTCGAGGACTTTGGGACTAGATTTCGGAGTCCTTGTTGCCTTGTTAGGAGATGAGACCGAATCGGCATCTGATCCTGACGTCTTGAGTTGGCGCGCAGTTCGCGGTGTTGCTAGAGATTTCCTTTGAGGCACTTCCAAAGAACCAGCTCTGTGTTTCATATTCAGAGGGAAAGCAATTAATAAAAACAAGCATACACACATTGCTAAAAGTGAATGTAAAGAACTATCAGTTTCAGCTTGAATGATATGAAAAAAATTAAGGGCATATCTCTCACTTTTCTTCATTATAACAACTAAAAAAAGCAGGAAAAATCAAACATAGTATAAATTTATAGATATATATTCACTACTATATGCATCTTTTTTAGGTAAGGCAACAAAGCAATCTGATCTGAACATGGGCATTGCTCTATTTGATCATACAAGAGAAACAAAATTTAAAAAAAAAAAAAAACCTTTTTCATAACAATTTACAGATAATATCACCAAATACATTTTTCATAACTCAGTAAAACAGTTGGAGATATCAGTTAACTGCTCTTTTTTTTTTTTTAATTCCTTTCAACAAGTAAAGAAATATAGAAGGAGAGTATTGGAGAAAGAAATAGTAGAGAAATTAAAACATAACAAAATAAAAGCAATTAACTAACAAAACGAATAAACTCACTTTGATTTTGGTGTCTGCATTTCTTCTAAATCTCCCACAGTGAAAAAATATATATTGTACGAAGATTGATGAGGTCCTCTTTAAAATACGCCCTGACCCACAAGACCTGCAAATATGTTCAGAAAAAAATTTTGGCTTGAGAAAGAATCAGAAAAAGAGAATATATATCATATATATGTACACATAAACAAATTTATGGGTCATTAAAGAGAGCCACCTCAGACCTGTATTTGAGTGCCAAAACCTAACAAACAAACAACACACACATCCCTTCAAAGAAACTCCACAGAAACAACCACCACTACTACCAACCAAATCCACAACACCAAAAATTTAAACCCAAAAAAAAAAAATTAAAGAAATAAATAAATAAACGGCATTATTAAAAATGTTGTACCAAAATAATTCATTGGGTACTATTAAACGGATCCTTTACTTTTTGCCCTCCTTTTTACTTCAGTGCTTCTACTATGCCCCAAAAACACATATAATTAAAAGCATGATGGGCCAAGGAGAACTAGTAATGACAAGAGCCAATTTTCATCAATTATTTTTTTTAGGGAAAAAATTTCATTTCATCAATTATTAAAAAAGAAAAGGAAACCCAAAAAAAAAAAGGCTAAACATTAGTGTGCAATGTATTTATCTAGAGCACAAATAAGACCCCATTTCTCTAAGTCAACTATTTTAGGTAAACTAAAAGCAAGGATCAGACAAAAATCAACAGAAAAGAAAAATATGGATATTATTTAATGTGCATTTAAGTCCAACAACTGATTTATTATATTAGATAAAAAGAAAATCAGGGAATATTTGAAAATATCAAAACCTAAGACAATCAGACAATGAACTTGAAACGAAAAACTGAGAAAAGGATAAGTTTTCACTTTTTGTTCTCATGTTAAGAAAACATTTTGGGCCTTCAAACTTGTTGAGCCTTAAGCGTCTAAACGTTTAGATCTAATGCCACACCAGTTTAAACCACCGTTCTGAAGCAGCCAAGTACATGAAAAAAAAAAAAAAAAAAAAAAAAAAACCCCTTTGAGCTTAAGAAGAAACAAAAGAAAAATGTAATCTTTCTGGTCAAACAAAGTACTTGAGAAAAAAAAAATGAACAAACTCTAACTATTTTTGTCCTTTGTCCAATAACACTTTACAACATAAAACCCTGCAATATAAGCGCCTTGAAACTCCCTAACAACAAACCCATATTTTCGTTCCAAAGAAGTTATAATTTAACAAAAAAAGATGAGATTTTTCCCCATAAAGGGAACACATTTGAGCAAATATGAACTGGGTTGTCAAAGACTCAAAAGTTAGAAGAAAACCCAGATGAGGGAAGTCTCTGAACACTCAAAAAACGCATTGAACGAAAACAAAAGACCAAAACCCATTTCTCAGAAGAGAGAGAAAAATCCAAAAACCCAGGTAAGAAGATAGTAAAAAGTGAAAGAAAATGATACCCAGTTGAGGATAAATCTCTGTTTCAGCTTCCTCTCTGAAGATTGGCCCTTTGGTCTTTGGTCTTGAAAAACCCTACTTTTTGGACTTAGTAGTGAAGTGGTAGTGGGTATTACTGTTGTCTCAGCATAGGGAAAAAAGTGGTTTTTGTGGGTGTTTGGTTTGGTAGTGTTAAGTTTCTGATGAAGCTGATTTTTTTTTTTTTTTTCCTGTGCTCACTGCCCAAGTGAGAGAGAGTTTTTCTTTTTCTCTCTCCTCTTTACCTGTCTTGTTTTTGTCAGTGGTTGTGGGAGTAGAGCGAGAGACTTTAGAGAGAGAGAGACAAAAACGTCTAATGTAGCTTAACGCTCTTCTTCTTTACGGACGCGCTCCCTTTCTTTCCCATTTTGGGTTAAATTCCATTTTCAATCCCAAATTTATAGTCAAACTATGTTTTAGTCCCTAACTTGACGATAAATTTTCCAAACTTAGTCCTCTTTTCCATATGATTGTTACAATCTCGACGGAAAAAATGAACGTTTTCCTTTTTAAAAATAATGCCCTTAGATGTAAAATTATAAAATTAACCACCATTAAATCGCTAATGATACTCGTGTGTCTTTTCTCCACAAAATTTAAAGAGTTTAATGGGCAAAAAGACTAGAGGGTCTAAAAAAGAAGAATACAAATAATGTTGAGGCTTATAAAGCTATTAAGGAGTCATCCTGTTTAGTTCGCTGATTTAAATTTTTAATTCGAGTTGAGATGTAATTTTATGTGAGAGCTTTTTACTGTAGTAAAAAAGTTAAATGTGACTGTTTGTGAGAACCTTTTACTGTAGCAAAACTCAAATTCTAAACTTGAATCAAAAAAGTTAAATGTGACTGTTTGTGAGAACCTTTTACTGTAGCAAAACTTAAATTCTAAACTCGAATTAGCGAAATGAACGGTGTACTTACTAGTGTTTTTGAAAAGGCGTATGCACGTTTAAGTCGTACAATTAGTGAAGACATGACGAGAAAATATTGTCAGTTTAGAGATGAACTGTAAAGGATCAGAACCATTAACACAAATGGAATGTCATAAGGTAGCTCGCGTGATGATGAAAGATGATACTTTAGTTTCATATATTTTTAGTATTCCTGATGACAAAAGATATGAGTGGGCTAGAGCACTTCATGCTGGTGATATTTAGGAGTAGTTTCATTTCATGGTCACATTGAATTGCACTACCTAATTAAGATTATACTTAACTTTGTTAAATTATATTAATTAGGATTTTGCTTGTCTTGATAGATGATGGATGTTATATACAGGTGAATCTACTAGTTATGGTGCTCGATTATATTTTGAGATTAGATGAGCATTTATGTTGTATCTTTGCATGACTTAAATATTTGTATATACGTACTTAGATGATATATTAGTTCATTTTTACTATTAACATGGGTCAAAATGATTAGTTTACTCAATACATATCATGGCCAAAATTGATCATATATGAAATGCATTCAAACACAAGTACAAAATAAAAGCTCAGTTATTAACGTCTTGTCTTGTCCAAAATAAGCGGTTAGTAGATTATATATACGTAATAAACATAAGTGATACTTTATTTTTAAATAAAAAAATCAAATATTTTTGTAATCATTAAAATATATATATTTTTAAAATTTTATCTTTCAAATAAAAAGTTTTTTTAATAATTAAATTATTTTTTACTATTTTAATTAATAAAATATTAAATTATTGATGATTAGTTGTCAAGGGTATTTTTGTCAAAATATAGTTTAATTCTATTCCATTTTGTGGTCAACCAAACAACATAATCTTTATTCAAGTATTAATTCCACAACTCTAACCAAATTAAAAAATCAGTTTATGTTACAACACATTATAATTTCATTCTATTACTATTTTTATTATCATTCTCATTATTATTCTGTCACTGCAATTAAACGTACCTTAAAGTTGGGACTTAACATTTATCTTTTAGTCATTAACTCTATCGTTTTCAAACTTTCTTAATAAGCGACAATGTGATTCTTAAAAAGAGTAAAAAAGAACACCATTTTTAACGACTAAAACAACATTTTTTATCAACATGGAAAATAAACAATTACTACCGTAAAAATTCCACATAGATATAACCCTACTTTCTTTTTTCTCTCTCATCATAGTTCATACACGAGAACAATATTAATAATAATTTGCGTCTCATTCATTTTACTAATGAAAAAAAAAAAAAAAAAAACTCTCACACACGACAATCTACGAGCTGCGTAAAATTTTATGGGAAAGTGTAACAAACTCACTGCCCACTGTTTGTCCGATCCCAACAAACTTTTAAACAAATGTGCTTTTCAATCTAAACGAGTTTTCATTTTAAATTGTGCAATTGAAAGAAAAATATTTCCACCTAAAAATTGTTTGAAAGCAAAATGTTAGTTTTTGCTTTTTTAAATGAAAGCTATCATTTTGAGGTATGATTTTTATATGATTTTATATTTAGACATGTATAACAACAAATTAGATATCTTGTGATCATAGAAATATTTTAACTTTTTTATGTATGTATTTAATTGTTAACGAGTTTTAAAGAATTATGTGTTAGAGCATTAATAAATATTTTTATTTGTACAGCATAGTCCTGTAACGTCAACTTTTCTTTAGATTTTACGGAGAAATTATTCAGTTTATTGAGTGTATTATGTCATTTTGTTTATAAGGTTTATCCGTTTAATGAAAATCCAACAGTTAGATGGAATTTGAGGTTAAAAACGACGAGTCCGTTTGGTTCATGGATTAGAACTATGAGATTAGAATTATTTTCAATTTACGTGTATTTTTTATGAGAAAAAATACTGTAACGAATTATGAACCATGATTCAAATCAGATAACGAATCCTCCAACCAAACGGGCTCATAATAATTGGGTAATCTAATAAAAACTACTTGCTAATCCCTTAACAACTCATGGTTTCTTTGGATGAATTGATAAATAAATTGTCATGATCACTGTGTTTTTAACCACCAATAACGACTTTCTGTTGGCTATCGTCAATTTGACTATGACCTTCTTTTTGGCTTATCCTCTAAATCAAATTAATGCGTGAATCCCTTTTTGTCAAATCATCATATTAGACTTCCCAAAACAAATTTAAACTGCGAAATATCCCTTCATTTTGTTAATTTAAATCACAACTCAAATTTTTTTACAATTTTTTATCACAAAAATTTTAATTTAATTGTTTTTATTATAACTTTTTCTCTCACATAATAAATTCACTTTTTAACTCAGGGTCCGTTTGAAATGTATAATCAAACTATGATTCTTAATTCTGACATTTGAAGTTCAAATTTTTATAGGAGAAAAACATTATGACCATGTTCATTTCACCGATTCGAGTTTTACTACAGTAAAAGTTATCAGAAACAGTCACATATAATTTTTTATTAGTAAAAAGTTCTCACATAAAGTCACATCTTAACTCGAATTTAAAACTCGAATCATCGAACTAAACATTTAAGTTTGAGTATATAAAACAAACGGGCCTCAAATTCTCAACTCAATACTATTAAAAGAATTATATCATACGTATGATTATATATAGGTTTTAGATCAAAATCATTTTATAACTAAGTATAAGGCCCCGTGATGAAGCTTGTTTGGTTGGAATAATATTATTTGCCAAACATATGGAAGAAAAAAAATTGGTACTCAATTACTTAAAAACAAGTTGGATCACAAAACAATTTAAAAACAAGCCTAACAGCTTGTTATTTTAACCGCGTTCTAAGTTGATTCGGTGAATCAAGCATGCTTCAAACTTACCCCATATAGCTCGTCTCTACTGGCTTACAGTAAACGATGTTACTTTTTTATTTATTTATTTAAATGTTATAATTATCATTTTCTATCCTTGGTTTTTCAATGGAATTTCAGAGAGATCCAGATTTTGTTGATCCCCAAGTTTTGCTTGGATTCTATTTCCAACGACTTTTAGAACTTAAGCACGGGTCAATGTAACCATTTTTTTCTTTGTTATAATGACCATGCTTAGAATTGATTCTGTTTTTATTTTTTACGTTTTTTAAGAAAAAAAAATAAAAACGTTTTTAAAACGGTATTTGGTGCAATAAAGATAAAAAATAAAAATAAAAATAATTTTTTAATTTAGTGTAAAATGAGAGAGAAATGAAAAACGACTTTTTTCATTTTTTATTTTCGTTTTCTCCTCTCTCTAGCAGAGAGAAAGAGATAGAGATATTAATGGATTTTTTTATACTGAAAATAATCTCTTGATAAAATTACCAAACGCATTTTTAAAAATAATTTCTGTATGAGATTGAAAACATTTTTATTTTCTTTTTTATACAAAAAATAAAATCATTTTAGAACGAGTTTTAAACGCACCCAACGATTTTTTTGTTTGTTTGTAACGGTACATATGCATAAATCATAATATATAAATGCATGTCACGGTCAAGATTTTAACCATGGCACATATAGCACGTGCTAAGCCTTTATAAGCCTCAAGTATAGTTGTGTTAGTCACTATAGGCGTGGGCGTTTGTGAGCCATATTGGTCCCTTTTTTTTTCCCAAGGGACCATGGATTCAAAGACATCCAATAGTTCCCTCAGTAGGATATATTTTGGTATTTCAACGTGTTGGAATATATTGTATAAAATTATCGTGTCGATAGTCTATTAATCATATGCGACTCTTAGAGCTCGTTTGGTAGAAGAGGAAACCGAAGGAAAAGAGTAAGGAGTGGCGTGAGAGGATTAGCAGGACTTTAAAACCTACAGTTGTTCAGTTAGAGTGGAGGATTTCATTTGATTATATGTCTTTAATATCTTTTTATTTTTTTCTCCAACCAAACAGGGTTTTAGACTCCTCTGTTTGGTAGGACGAAGGCGAATAAGAAGAATGGATAGATTGGGAAGGAAGTAAATATATCAAAGAGAATTATAATAATTCTTAAAGTTATTTCATAAGAGAAAGAGAAAAATGACACGAGAGTTGAATAATTATTTATCTAATAAATAGTTCTTTTATAGCTCTTATTGATGGATTTATTGATTCTATTTTTTCTAATGAAAGGTGCGTTTGGTACGAGGATTTAAATCAGAGTGATTCTAATCATGATTTTAGAATTAGAACAATGATTCATAATTTTGGGTTCAAATCATGATTCAGAATCATCCAAACTAAACACTAATTCAGAATCATGATTCAAAATCACTGCAAATAAATACTGATTCTGAATCAATCTACCAAACACAAGTGATTAGATTTTGTGAGTCCGGGGAAGGTCATCATTATCCATCTATGTCCTTCCCTCTATCCACCCTTCTCTTTTTTCTCATCTCTCTCCGACTAAATAAACTGTCAATATTCGCTCGTAAAATATATTAATTCATTAAAAAAAAAGAAATAATTATGATTATTTATTCTAGTTATTGATTCCAATAACATAAGAAAACTCAACGGTGATAACCATCGATGGTAATACACGGCATTGTTTGAGGAGATTCGCATATCTTCTCAGCTTAAATTCACGAGGTCTCTAAAATGTTAAAAACAGATGAAAGAAAAAATGATTTCGTTTGAGCAGAATTATTGTAGAGGAATATATATGTCTTGCACAACAATAAAGTAAATAACTGTTCTTGTTCCCTTCCTTTTGCTTTCTCGACAAATCCAAGAATGAAAAATAAAAATAAAAAGAAAACAATTAAGTGTCCCCCCCAAAAAAAAAGAAAAAGATATATTTCTTTTCGTATGTTTTAAAACCCTTTTGCTTTGTTTGTAATGTAAGCAACAAGCGTTATTATTCTAAAACGGCCTATAAATATTTTAATGTCATTTTCCCAAAAGGAAAAGCAACTAAGAGAAGCAAACAACATATTACAAACAATTGTGATATGTTTGGAGTGGGGGCCACACATTAGCACTAACTGATTGCTGAAATTTGCATGCAAAATTTTTTTTTGTTTGATTTTCTTCCTTTGGTTTGTTGAGCAGTTTACAAGAATCTCAGTTTGTTTTTTTCCACATCTATGGCCCAGAAACAGCTTGGCCATTACAGCCAATCTTAGCCATTTTTTCCCCTTAGAATAAACAAGACAAAGGTCTCAAGGCCAAAGGGAATCTTTTTGTCTCCAAAATCATGCCATTGGGAAATCAAGCTTTGCTTGAAATTGAATTGCAGCCTTGCATTGCACATTTTTTGACATTAGAAGTGCAGAACTCATGAAAGATTTTGGATCATTTTTTATCCGTCAGATCATATCATAGACGCTATGTAAAATCAATGAAGCATAATAATTCTTTAAAAGTTTAGAATTATTTTTCTACACCCTACTGATAGAGAATCATCTTTACTAATTTAGGACACTTTTTTTTTTCTCTGTTTATTTCAGCGATAATTCTTCGATATGATGATAAAAAAAGATATAGTTTTGTTTTAATATAATCTAATTGGCGATCCAAAGCTACACAATACTAATAAAGTACTATTTTTCTAAGTGCCCTGTCACCAAATTTTATTTTATTTTGCATGTTATTTATTTTTCCTCTTCGTTCATTTCACCGATTCAAGTTTAGAATTTGAGTTTTACTGCAGTAAAAAGTTCTCAGAAACAGTCACATCTAACTTTTTTATTACAGTAAAAAACTCTCACATAAAAACACATCTCAACTCAAATTAAAAATTCAAATCGACAAATTAAACAGGTCCATCATTGTCCATTTGTAATACCGTATGGGGCAGGCATAATATATGTAGAGACAGGCAGAGCCTAGCAAATGGAGGACCCCCGTATCATTAAATATTGACCAAGGAGAAGTTAAATAATGCACCGATATTGCAATCATTTTCTGTCATCCATGCCCTGCTGCTTATTATTTTTAAGGACTTCTGTGAAACATCAGATATGATTGCCCACCACATAATTTTACAGACTTGCACGTTTATATCATCAAATAGCTTAGAAAAAAATATTAGAAGCTTGTTTGAAGTTGTTTTCGTTTTTATTTTTTAAGTTTTTCAAGAAAAAAATAAAAATGGAAGAGAAACGGCGTTTGATACAATTAAAAATAAAAAACATAAATATTTTTTAGTTTAGTGTAAAATGGGAGAGAAATAAAAAATGACTTTTAGTCATTTTTTATTTTTTATTTCTGTTTTCTCTTCTCTTGAGTAGAGAGAGAGAGACATTAATGGATTTTTTTATACTGAAAATAATCTCTTGAAAAAACTACCAAACGCATTTTTAAAAATGATTTATGTCTGAGATTGAAAACATTTTCATTTCTATTTTCATACAAAAAATAAAATCATTTTAGAACGAGTTCCAAACGCACCCTTTGTTCATGTCTATAAACCTTCTTTCAGAGTTATATCTTTATTCATGAATCATTAGTGAGCATTTACACATGAAAATTGGTGCGGATCCACTTTCTATTAATGAATATGAATAGTAATACTCAAGATGGTATTGAACACCACCGGTTGATCCATTATAACATTGTTCTTTACACATATATGCTCTTTCTTAAACAAATATCTTAAAAGTTTAAGGGCTTGTTTAGTTCGCTGATTAGAGTTTTAAATTTGAGTTGAGATAAGACTTTATGTGAGAGTTTTTTATTGTAGCAAAAAAGTTAGATGTAAGTGTTTTTAAGAATTTTTTACTGTAACAAAATTCGAATTCTAAACTTAAATCGGTGAAATGAACGGAACCTAAATGATTGATGTAAGGATATCAATTCTATCCTTATTTATTGATGTTCGAATATTGTAGTTTAAAGACCGGCATATTTTCATCAAGTATTGTGAAATTGCATATTTTATGTAATGTCACGGTCCAAAACCGTACAAAATACCAATAAATTCAAAATATTCTCCTAATTCTTCAATGCACAAACAGGCCTAGAAAATTAGTTAGAGAAGAACAAATATTCAAATCATTGGCCTGATCAGCTAGCCATATATATACATTTTCAAATCAATTATTGGACTGTGGAATGGATGCTTTTATTATAAGTTGAAGAATAAGTCAAATGGCTAAAAAGGATTTTCAATTATTCATAGGTTGGATGAGAAACTGACAGAAAAACGGACACTGATAGTCTTAAAAATGACAAGGAAAATACAATCATCAAATCAGATACATTAAAAGGACATATATAGAATCTTCAAATACATGCGTCACTATCGCACAAAACAGAATAAATTAAATATTTAAAAATATTAATTAGCACTAAACATCAGAATTTGATTCAAAATCAAACCTAATCATCTAACTAATACATAAACGGCATATATAATTCCTGGAATGTAGCCCAGCAGGGTCAGCAACAAACAAATCCAAAACTCCACCTGCAAATTTTGAAAATGACCCAATAATATGTCATGAAACACACGCTCATTGGTGAAAATTATAAAATATTAAAAAATAAAAAATAAAATAGATGGGGTAGGGTACGGAAAAAGTACCCTTCCCAGTATTTTATATTTTTAGAATTTTATGCCACTTTAATTTCAAATCTAAAATAAAAAAAATTATGGTATCATTCAGTTATTCGATTTGAATTTTTAATTTTAATTTGTTACACATTTAATTTTTTCTACTACAGTAAAAAATTTTCATAAAAAAATTATATTTAAGTTCAAATTGAAAACTTAAATCAAAGAACTAATGAGACCTACAAATAAAATATAACTTGATGAAAATCTGATAGTTCAATTCAGTACGAATATTAGAGGAGTCAAGAGTCGTTACCCCGCAGCCATAACGGAGGAACACACCCACCGGTGGAAGAAGGATAGCAAGTAACACTTCTATGAATGTCTCGGAGCCCATTTTGAGATCAAATTTTTTTCACTTGCAGAGGTAAAATGTGGAAATGGCCAATTTGGATGTGATATTAAGCTTTTCAATTTGGGAGCTTGGTGAGATGAGAAAATAATGCATCTAGTTTGACGCAAATTAGCTGGTTTCATGCAGGATTGAATGGCCAAGTTGTGTGCAAATCATACACGTGACATGCAGTTAATTCCAAAATTTACACGTAAAAGCTCCTTTAACAATTTGTGGTTCTTCTTAAAAGAGACTTAAATTTGCTTTCCAATTTTTTTTTATCTTAATTGACATCTAATATCTAAATATTAAATTAAGGAAAAGTTAGTAAAAAGGATATTTTAAATTTTTTTAATGATTGACACAATCTAATTGATTAGACACTATTTTACATACTAAAATTGGATAAATTATTTGAATTCTGTAAAAAAATGTTTGCTAGTTAGCCACTAGAATTTTAATCAATTAGAGATTGAAATACGTGATTATGTAAAAAACTTATATCATAATTAGTAGATCTTAAAATTGACGTGTAAATTTATAACGAGATATTTATCAATATATATATATATATATACTACTTCTTTTTTTATTATATAAAACTATATTTCTTGTATATTTTTGGATGTTCGAATTTCGTACATTCAGATTTTAGATTCTAAATCCACATTAAATTTATATATTTTATGTATGATCCCTTAATCCATACATTTACTCGTTGCATTTTATAGATAAACCTGTTGAAGCAATCAAATGAATTTCCTCTTCGTCTTTGTAACTCTAGAGTGATATTATGAGTTGGACCATTTGAACAGAATTCAAGTTTGTTTATTTTTGTTAAAGAAAAAATAGTAACAAAAAAAAAAAAGTAAAAACCACACTGCATATCAAATTTATAAGTGTAGAGTTGAAATATAACTTTTTGATCTTAGATATATTAGGAATAGCAAAAATTATACAGTAATAATTATTTTAATGATATTCGGTCAGTTTCTTTTCATAAATTTAAGTTACAATTCAACTTTTTTTATTAGAGTGCTTTCCTTTTATAAAAGTTTAAATTTCAGTTAAATTTTCTGTTTAAATCTATGAGCACTCTCTTAATATTTACACTACCATTATGCAGTACAAACTTAAATTACATGTTTAATTTTGAATTTTAAAATAATGTCTAAACAACCAAATCATGTCACGTCATTTAAAAAATTTTAAATGCTTTTTACTTGATTTTTTCATACTTTAAAAAATAAAATCTAATAAATGATATGACAAAGGGCGCGTCTATTGACACAATCTATTCTACTTTTCACATTCCTTTTTAATAAAATGCTTTATTATTAAATTACCCATTAATAAAATTACTCTTAAGGACAATAGTATTTTTTATTAAAAAAAAAAAAAATTCATTAGACACCCACCACCTTTTTCAAAAATTAGTGTTTATTTGTCTTTTTTAAATTGCTTTCTTTAACGTGGATTTTGAAAAACTCTCTTAACATTGATTGTTTATAAATATATATATTTTTTCAGTTTTATTGCTTTTTCTTCGTCTTTTTTTTTTCCCCTTTTGGAGAAGATGTTTCTCCTTGTTTTTTAATATCTCAATATTTACTTGAAATAATGTTAATATTTATCCTAAAAGATACTCTAACAAAACTGCAACAGCTTTGCCGATTGCCATTTTCCCTTTCATTTTTTTTTTCAAATGTCGATATGAATTCACATAGTTACTACTTTTATTATCTTAATTTTTACTATTCGTAAAATCTTCTAGATTATTTTGCTATATTTCAACATACTAGTAAGAGAAAATTACTGTAATTACTCTTAAACGTGCACGAGTCTAGATTTTTACCATTTACTCTTAAATAATATAATTTTGTTACATTTTTTGTTAAGAAAAGAAAAAATTAAGATCCATACACCTTTCTCTAAAATGCCGAAAAGGTTTGAACAGGCCTCCTTCAATTCGCAAATTCAAGTTTTTAATTCGAGTTGAGATGTGATTTTATGTGAGAGTTTTTTACTGTAACAGAAAAGTTAAATGTGACTTTTTGTGAGAGTTTTTAACTGTAGCAAAACTGAAATTGGTGAAATGAACGAGGAATTTGTCAACCAAAACTTGGGCCGGTTTCACACGTCACGAGTCAAGAGAAGGCTTGGATTTATTATGGGATATGATTCTGACCATTAATACAATCATATTAGTTTCCACAATTACATACTTTCCATAATTTAAGCATTGACAATTAACAGAGAAAAACATCCCATTTTGTATGAATTGCATTAAAGTTAATTGCCGAAGATTGAGTAACAAAAGTGGTCGTGTTTCTTTTGTTTTTTAAATCAATACACATTCAATAGTACGTTTTCCTTTTCTCCTTCTCTCCCTCAAAGAAATTCTATGGCAGAAAAGTGCATAATAGCAGCAACTATCGCTCTCTTGGTATGTCATCCTCGGACAACCATAAAGTGTTTCAGTCCTGGACAGAGCGACACAAAATCCCCTAAGCGACACAAGCCAAAGCCAAAACCAAAGCCAAAACCAAAACCAAAACCATCTAATCTACCAAAAGCCTTAAACCCAAATGCAGAACAAATTCCCTTCCAATCCAAGGAAAAACTCAAACCCAATTCTAGTTTTTCCTCTACCAACAATTTCTCTCAAGGACTTGTTAGTAATAAGGTCTCAGAAATCTTTAAAGGAGACCCTTTATTTGGTACCATTGAAACCATAATCCGCTCAGGGTGGCTTGACAAAAGAAGCCTCAAAATCAAGAAGGTTTTTAGAGTGAGTCACACTGTACGGACTATCTTCATGTTTGAACAGTACAGGCACAAATTAGAACTCAAATACTCAAATGGTACTAGCGGTTTCAATGAGAGGTTGGCGGTTGATGGGAATGAGATATTGCAGTTCCATGGTGCAACTATTTCTTGTTCTTTAGGGGCGACCTCGAATGGATTATCGTCCGACGTCTGCGAGAAGGAAGGTTGTGGAGTCTGTAGAATTTTGGCCTCAAATTTCTCCACTGAAGATGGATCAGTTTCATTCTTTGAGAAGAGTTGGGAGGCTCATGAGAAGGTGATTGCAAATGGGGTTTGTGCAAGGAAAGCCATTGTAGTGTGTCGGGTTATTGCCGGTCGGGTTATTGCCGGTCGGGTTGGCCGTTGTGACCAACGTGGGCTAATGGATGGAGAAGAAGGCAGCTTTGATTCTGTAGCGATTGGATCATCTGGGAATCAATCCAATGGAGGGGAAGAGCTATTTGTTTTGGATCCGAGGGCAGTGCTTTCATGCTTTGTGGTCACATACTAGTGTCTAGAGAGTAAATAAAAGAAGGAACAAAACTGTTAGTTATCACTATTGGTGATGCAGTCATTGTAGGTAAATTGGTATATTAGAACTATCATATTGCAGTGCTACTACACGTTTTAGTGATGTAATGAATAGCAGTGCTCTAAGAAGTGGAACAACTTGGGAAAAGTTGGGTATAACTAAGCTTTAAACAAGCTATACTACTTTTTATTATTGTTTTTTATAGTACAAAAGAGATCTCTCTTTAGAAGTTCTTTCTAATATGGGCAGATTGTTTTGCTATTTCTTTATTATAGCTTCAGTCTTCAACTCATAGTAGAAATCTATGATGTGATCATAATTGTAGACAATATAACTTCACAACAGATTAAAATTTTATAAACAACGTGTTTTTTCTTCGGTAAAAATCATATCATATATCAAGTTTCATCAGACTTTGTGTGCAAGTTTCAATTAATGGAGAGTATTGCATCGTAAAAAAATCTATCACGATTTCTTTAGTATATCAAGCAATTACAAAGATACCAAACATAAGATCCCAAATCCAAATGCATCATTATACAAGAAATCGATGTAGTCATGCAAATTTACTCCGAGTGATGTGTTGGAAAGTAAGGACTTTGCTGTTATACAAATTCATTCTAGTAGCTTTTGCAAGATCCAAAAAGGCCATATAACCGTATTTGGGAACCGTATAAACATCTATGCCAAGTTAAAAGATGCCACAACTTTATGAAAAAACTTGAATTGTTACAAGATTAAAAACACGTGCTATGTTAGAGGCTTCAGTTTATGAGGAAGCTTTGTTAAAACAACTTCCTAGACCAGACCAAAGAGAGAATAAAAACATCACTACCACCAAAGATTAGCCTAATGAAGAATCATCCACTACAGAAATTAATGCGCTTATCTGATTTCTTCTGCGAGTTCAAAATTGGCGCATCAGCGGAGTATCTCTTGAAGTGAGTTTGTCTCCTTGCAGTGTAACCTTCCAGCAATCGACTTGGAACACAAAGACGGAAAACTTTTTGGGGACAACTGCAAACAACCCTCCAGAATATTACTCATCATCTAATTTTTTAAAATAAGTTCAGAGGGTAAGAAATGCGAGTGCTAAAACCAAATACAAAATTTAGCAAGGCTTGTTCAGGGACTATTCAAGCAGATGCACTAAAGATCTGATAAAATCATAAATTGTTTCAACTCTGAACAAGATAACAAATAAATTACCTCGGAATTTATCGTCTTGAGTGATAATCCCAAATGTCTCTGCAGTTTCACGAATCACGATACCACTCACCCCAGTGAAAGAAGTTATTTTACACTCAACAACTGACAACAAAGAGTAAAGTAAGTTTGAAACAATAATAAGGAAGAACAACGCAAAAGTTTGGATTACATTAAGCAAATTATATTCTGCAATGTTATGGTTTAGACTGTTTACATCCAATTAGAGGAATGGTGGACATAGCTATGCATGAGAATCGTCTCATAACAAATATAGCTATTAAATTTCCCGAGATATGGTTAAAAAATATATAACAATACAAGGAAAGACCATTAGTCCCAATTTCCCGAGATATGGTTAAAAAATATATAACAATACAAGGAAAGACCAACTCACTGCAAAACTACCATTACAAATTATAATAGGACCATTACCTAAAATAATAGCACCATGTAGATCTGCTTCCATAAGACATTGAGCGATCTGATTTTTTCTGCAAGGTTGAACAAAACTACCATTACAAATTATAATAGGATTCAAAAGCAACTATTCATAAACTTAAAAAAAAAAACACGAAGCCTTCTCGAAAGAAGAACTAAAGGTGAACAGTGTAAAAACCAACTCACTGCAAACCAGCAAAGAAAATCGTCTCACCCACAAACTTTAAGAAGCTGGGTCATGTAATCTTTCCACATCTCATGCATTGGTTTGAAGTTTTCATATCTGTAATCCATACACAACTTAGCAAGGATTAAGGGGAAGAAACACTAAAAGGGCAGATGAATCAAAAAGTTGGTTATTATTTACCTGATTTATCCTTCCATGCTCTATTAATAAATAAAAAATAATAATAAAAAAAAGAAAACAAAACCTAGACTAAAACTTGGGATAGAAAAAAAGCAGTGCCAAACACAATCAATGATCAAATATTGGCATATTAGACTCACTTATGGAGCTCTCGAGGCAAATCCAATGATCCATGCTTTTTATGTTGCTTCATTGACATGTGCTTTTTCGAACGTTTCGAATGGATTTGCAAAGCCCTGAGTCGAGAACCGGTAGGCATTCTCCGTCCTTGAACATAATTATCCAGCAGGATCACATTGTCAATCTTTTTGCTTCTCGATCCTTGCATGTACTTCTGAGCTGAATCGCCGTTTTGAAGAAGATTATGCAAAATCTTATCAACTTTGCTTTCTCTTCTACCAGAAATCTAACATCTCACACAAAGCAAATCATGTCAAGCCAAGAAAAAACTATAAAAATCTACAATAACCAAACCCTTTTAACTGTACATTCTAAATCACAGAAATTTCAACAGTTTTATTCAAAAAAAAAAAAAAAAAAAAAAGAAAAAACCCGGACATTGGTCGTCAATAAATTCTCATGAACTGATTGAGAAAGGTTTGAGTACGTTGGATCATTTTTGTCAACATCTGCATATAGAACACTCAAAGTCATCTCTCTTTTTTTAAATAAATAAAATCAAAGTTTTCTCTTTTACATCACAAATGAAATTTATATGCCTTTTTATTACTTACAGGACTTACTTTTTTCATCAATTAACTAGAAAAAGCAGAAATACACAGAGAACTAAAAACAGTACCTTCTAAAGCAAAATAGCCTGAGAAAGTGAAATTCCCTACAACAGATAGGAGAACCAATTAGATTATATAAGCCTGGGATTAAAACCCCCCAAAAAAGGCATAAAACTAATATCCGAACATGAAAATTTAAGACGCAATACGAACTAGGGTTAGGGATTTCCATTCAAACCAGAAATTGCTTCAAAAAAATTCAAGCTTTTGACAAAATTTCACTCACATTACGTCTAAGAGCATCCAAATTTCTGGATTATCCCATTAATTCGACACAAAAATGATTTTTTTTTCCAATGGGAAAGAAATTGGAATAAGGAAAAAAGGGAAAACCTTTAACTGACGAATCAGTGGAATTGGAGTGTTTTCCATCTTCTTGGCTGGAGGTAATAGCGGTCTGCTTCTTCTGGTGCAGAGCAAGTTCAGCTTTGGCAGATGCGAATCTTCGCTCTAATGCCTCCAAACTGCGTTTCTTTTGATCTTGAGGAACTCTATTGTTATCAGGAGTCGCCATTGAAACAGAGCTCACATAAGCCTAGCTTCTTCAATGACATGTTAAAACCAATAGGAGAATTTGGTTAAAATAAGTGAAAAAGTAAAAATACAATTTTTTTAATTTTAAATATAAATTATTTTTAAAAATGTATTTAATAATTTTATTAAGAGATTATTTTTAGTGTAAAAAAATTTAATAATGTCTTTTTTTTTCTTTTTTTTTCTTGAGAAAAAAAAAACGATTAAAAATTATTTTTTATTTTACACTAAATTAAAAATTTAATTTATTTTTTATTTTTTATCTTTATTTTACCAAACCTCATTTTAAAAATATTTTTATTTTTTCTTTCTTAAAAAGGTAAAAAATAAAAATAGAAACCATTCCAAACACCACGTTCATTTTATTTACTAGTTGTAATGCACGCCCAAGAGGGCATGCTGGCAGCGACACTTCTACGCTTTGAAACATGCACGTATATTTTAAGGATATTTTAGTTTGAAATATTATTTTTAATTTTTGAAATAGCAGTACTATTAAGCTCTATTGATAATATATGACTTTTATATACGTAGATAGATGTAGATTTATTTATTTTATTAAATGGGGTCTAGGTTTTATTTTTTTTTTGTTTTATTTTTTTGTTTGACTTTTGCAAACTTAACCGCACATTTTTTAATTTTAATATATATGATTCTGATGATTGTAATGGAACCGGCAATGGAGCCAATTAATGGACGGCAATCAAGTAAATTAATTGAAGCCTAATTGAGAATAAAAAAGAGCTTAAAGTTATTGATTAAATTAATTTAAATAATGATTTGAGAATTTAAAATTATCTTTGCGATCACAAGCGTCTAATTGTGAAGTTAATTTGACAGGGTGATTAGTGCCTAACAAAATTAAAAATAATTTTGAAGGCAAAGTTCTAAGAGGGCAAAAATTTGGGATCAGTTCCTTCTGGTCTTTTGAAATTCATTAAGAAAAGAGCATGATCTAATTCCACTCAAACAAAAAAAAAAACCCCCTAATTTTCATTCACACCATCACAAATCAAACGCTATATTCTATCAATAATACATTATCTTAAAAGTGAAATTGGCCTCGTTTATTTCACCGATTCGAGTTTTTAATTTTAGGTTTTTACAGTAAAAAGCTCACAGAAAATGTCACATCTAATTTTTTTTCTACTACAGTAAAAAGCTCTCAGAAAATGTCACATCTCAGCTCGAATTGAAAACTCAAATCCGCAAAATGAACAAGGCCTAATGTCAAACTTTATACACATTTGTGAAGGCAAAGTTTTAAGAGGGCAAAAGTTTGGGATCAGTTTCTTCTGGTCTTCTGAAATTCATTAAGCAAAGAACATGTTCTAATTCCACTCGAACAAAAAAAAAAAAAAAAAAAAAACCCCAATTTTCATTCACACCATCACAAGTCAAACGCTACATTCCATCGACGATATGGGATCTTAAAAGTGAAATTATAAAGTGTCAAACTTTAGACACATTTGTGAGAAAATACTAAAAAAAAACCTTATTGTTAGACGCATTGTGGGAAAAACAATAACAAACATTTCTATTGGTACGAAATTCAACGTTCATTTCACCAATTTGAGTTTTTAATTTTAATTTTGTTACAGTTAAAAGCTCTCATAAAAAGTAACATCTAACTTTTTTTACTACAATAAAAAGTCACATAAAATTACATCGCAGATCGAATTGAAAACTCGAATCCGCGAACTGAATAAATGTGTTCAGGGGTTTCAACACAGTAAAATGATATTCATCTCGAGTCGGGATGACTTGGAATTAGAGGGCCTGTGGGACCCACAACATTCCGACTTGGATGAACAGAAGCGCCCTTGGGCAGGGGGAAGGATTTAGGTGGTGTCGTATATTCCCATTTTTCACACTGATATGCAAACAATATAGGAGAGCAACAGATTTAGCAGCAAGAAATGAAACATTTTCTAAGTGTTAATAATAATACATTCAAGTGGCATAAAAAGGGTTCTTAGTTCTGACATTGGTAACAAATGTTATTGGAAAAGGCAAAGACCGTATGAAACATAAATAAGACAGATATATAAATAAACAAATATGAAACACATATAAAAGAAATCCCAACAGCCCCTAAACACTAATTTTACCCTCACCACCCCAACACTTGGAATTAATAAATTAAAATAAATCATATGATTCACAAAATGAATATAAGCCTTTTATTTCTGTTTCCTTTCCCTTTGTGAAGCCGTGAAAATCCCTTCTTTTGTTGATTGCTATCATCAACCACCAATGCCATTGCTCTCACTGTTTTCTGTAACAGAAGCTACAGAACTGGTGTCCACCTTTGGCGGGCCCGAATGCCGCCGTGCCTTGGCAGGGGAGGGCGGGAACGACAACCTTTTCTTTGCAGACTCCACGGGTCCCTTCTCCGGCGTCCCATTTTTCTCTGCTCCGAACGGGCTCTGCATCCTGGACTTGGCCCTTGCAGACTCAGTTGGTACCATGTAACTCGGAAGCGAAGGAGAGCTGGCAAGGCTCTCGTCATCTCTTGCCGTTGCCCCGCCAACGCTGTGCCTCCGGAACCTCTCTGACTGCAGGCTGGCCATGCTTCTAGTGTCGTCATCCGGCACCCTGCCCACCCTCGGGCTTGCCGACTTCACTTTCTTAGATGGCGTGGAAGAGATCGGCTTCGTAGGAGTGGAAGGTGACTGGAAGACGGAATTGCTTGGCTTTTGACTGCCTGTTGGGGAAGAAAGCTTTTCGGAGTTGAGAAGATAGCGGGCGTATGATTTGTTGATTTCCCCACCAGACATGCTGCGGCTCTTCACTGACGAGCTGTCGTTGTTTGAATCTTTATCCGTCGCACCACGACTCTCCCATGGCCTGGCAGCCATCCACCTCTCCAGCCAGCTCCAGCCCCAGGTGGGGTTCCTCGGGTCCATGAACATTGGATTCACAGATCTTGAAGAATTCTTCAAAGTTTGCTATAACAATAATCCAAATCTTAAACTCAGAATTTTGCAACATGGTAAATTCATATACAAGGAACACAAAATCATAATTTATTAGTTTCTTAGGTTTAATAAATAGTAAGCATTTAGCATTTGTCTTCATCATTGTCCATAATGTGAAATGTAACCATAACACTATGTTTGGTAGGAGTGAAAAAGTGAGGGGAAAGAAAATGGAGGAACGGGTTGTTGGGTTGTTTGGTAGGAAAGAAAAGTGAATGAACAGGAAAAATAAAACGATAAAAGCACATGCGGGCGGACCCCACAAAACCCCACAAATTTTAATCCATCCAAAGATAAAAAGAAGTTTTTCAACTAAAATATCACAAATAAACAGGTAAAATAGTAATTGTCCAAATCATTCATTATTCTTTCGTTCCTATCATACCAACAACATAAATTACATTATGCTTCCAATTATTGTTATTTTTCATCTTGTCTACCTCTCTTCTTCCTACCAAACAGAATACTAGTAATAGTATTTATGAAGGGAATTCGACGGAGTAAAAAATGGTCACTCTAAAGCTTCAAAAAAACCAAAAGATTTCATGATTATTGAATAGCTTCAGAACATAACAACCACCATGAATGTCTTAATTGCTCACCAGTGTTCCATATGCACAGGGCCTAGTCACCATTGGTAATTTGGTACTAATTCATTGAATTTTTTTCTTCTCTTTCATTTTTTCTTTTTTCTCTTTTTTCGCCTTCTAATCTTTAAGAGTGCTCATTCATGTAAGATGTTAAAGAGTAGAAGGAATACCTGATGAGAGAATGCATAAGCCAATGCTCTTTCTCTCCTCATAGTTGCTTCATATTTGCTAAGCAGGCTTGCTTCAATTTGTTCCTTGGACTGTATACTATCATCCCATTCCTCCCCAAGCTGTTACATTTTTGAAAAAGCAATGTTAGTGTCATGCCAATATATATATATATATATATATATATGTATATAACTTGACCAGATATTTGACACTGCCTAGGAGACTTTATTTTGGTGTAGCATAGTTATAGCTATTAATTAACAAGGGCTGAATCAGAAAATTGCAATCCAAAATCAAATTCAACAGATTTTACCATCGCTTTGAGCAAAAAAATATATATATTTTTTTAAAAGTTAATACTTGGTGGTTTAACTTATAAAGATAACTGGCTGCCAGACCAACAGAATAGACTATAAATTGTATTGCTCCAATTATTAGCGAAATCCATATAGATAAATAAGCGAACAAGAGAAAGAAAGAGACCCGCAAGTTCTCGAGCTCTTTCGCGTGTTTCTGCAAGAGTTGTCTCTGGAGAGCCTGGTTCTCCTCTAACATCCTGATCCTCCTCGAACGAATCTGCGACTGCACCCGAGCAAGAGTCTGCATGCACTTGAGGGTATTTGCGCCTTGACGTTTCACAACGGACCCCTCCATCAGTAACTTCAGCCTCACCAACCCTCTTAAAGCGCGCAACGCCCTTCTTGCCTGAAAAGTTTTACAACACAAAGTCATCACAGCCACCACCACCAAAAGCGTTCCTATTTCCTTTTGTTCTTATAAACATACAATTAACAAAATTAAATAAATAAGAGGTCCACAAAGTAACATGATGATTCTCTGGGGAAATGTCATACTAGGTATCCTCGGAAGGCCGTTTGAATCTTGATGGCGGCTGCTTCTTCCCCTGATTTCCCGACAAACCGAGAAACTCGAGGGGGTTGGGCAACCTCTGGCGCAGCCTGAGGAGCAATGACCGCAGGCTTGGGCACCGCAGTCAACGCAACCGCAACGGGATTCTCGTGGTTGTGCTGTTCAACCTCCACATTGGTCAACTTCACCTCTTCTTGCGGAGGAAGAGGAGGCAATGTGACGGATTCTGCCGGGGCAGCATCAGAATCCGAGTGGTGTTTTTGCTTCCCAAACCATTTCTTCTTAGACTTACTTGATTTCTAAAGAATGACATTACCAAAAAAAAAAAAAAAAAAAGGTTCCATAATAAAGTCATTCACCAAACCAAAAAAAAAAAAAAAAAAAACCCACATTGTTTGAAAAAGAAACAAAATTTCACACTGACCTCTTCTCTCTTCTCCTTGGAATCAGGACTGAGAGCTTTCTTCACATTAGAAAACCAATTTCCTTTCCTTCCCATCTTCTTATCATTCCCTTACTTAGATCCTTCTGAGTAATTCAAAATACAGAATTTAACCATCAAAATAACATAATAATTGACCTTTTCAATAAACATTTCAACAAGGGAAAATAGAGCAACAATCTGAGAAAGGGTTTATGGCACAAAACATGAACAAACATTTTCAGATGCTTGTAATCTCTGTGAAAACTACAAATCTTATGCACTACATTGGATTGATTCTCAGTAAAACCGAAAAATCTGCCTTAATTCAACCAAATACATGTATTTCCAAACTTCACAAAGGTTTTTCGACCGCTATACAAATAAAGTTTACAACTTTAGTCATCTCTCTACAATGTCTCAGCAAAAAGAAGGAAATGGAGCAAATGGGCAGCTTCAAAAATCAAAGTAGAGAAACACGCAGATTCTAGAGAGGGCTAATTTTCAAACAAAATCCGTGACCCATTATCACTGTATGAAAGAAAAACAGATTTTTTTTCTCTTACCCAGAAAAGAAAAACGAGAAAACAAACCGTACACGCACCCCAAGAACAAGTTGAGGGGTCCAAAGAAAGAGAGAGAGAGAGGGAAAAAGAGGAAAGAAGAAGAAAAAGACGAAGAAACCTTGCTTACAAAGTGGCAGATCTCAAGGAAGCTTGTGCAAACTTCTTCACAAATGAACCGCTTTTTCTTTTTTTCTTTTTCTTATATGTTTCTCCACAAAACCAAACAAAAAGATTTATTATTTAGAGAGAGAGAGAGAGAGTGGTGGAAGGAAGGAAGTGCAGAGCCACTTGCGGGTTGACCCTTCTCTTTCTCTTTCTTCTCACTTGTCTTTCTCTCTCTCTTTGTAGTTTGTTTGTATAGAGGGAAAGGAGAGGAAAGGAAAAGAGAAAAAGGAAAAGATCAGATCTTGGGAGAGAAGATTTCAATGATTATGATAGAATATGAAGAAGAAGAAGAAGAAGAGGAAGAGGATGATGAAAACGGAAGGAAGGCAGGCCAGCTGGTTTCGTAAATGTGCCCCCACTCCTCCTTTGGTGGGTCCCACTTTAAATTTAAAATGTATTAACAGTGAATTACAAGTCTCTTTCTTTCTTTCCTCTTACTTTGGATCGAAAAGCATCAGATACTCCCAGTCTCCGACACTTCTTTTGTTTTTCACTTTTACTTCGCGGCAACTAGAAAAAGTGTCAAAACAGTTTGTAAACACTAATGTTGATGTTCTGTTCCATCCGTGTATACTTTTTTTTTCCCATTAATTATATATACATACATATATATATATATATATATGAGATTTTCATTAGTAATCTTGATTTCATTAATATTTATTCTTAAACTAATATATCTCTTAAATTTAGAAGATTTGATATCAATTTTATAATTAGTGGTTCTATTCACACCGCTCTTTTTATTCTTCACATCTTTCTCAATTAAAAATTTCTTATTATAAAAAGGCTCATAAATAAAATGACAAAAAAGACAATAAATTTAATTATATAATTAAATTTTATTACAAAAAGAAAATTAAAAAAAGAGTTTTTTTTTTCTCTCCACACTCCCAACATATCATATTCTCAAATTATAAACTATTTCTATTTCAAATATACATAACTAAACCTTAATTTTCACTTTTCAATAATTAGTTTTCTTTACTATTTATTGTATGAAGTTTTTGCCGTGTTTGAAATCGTTCTTTTTTTGTTTTTTACGTTTTTTGAAAAAGAAAAAATGAAAAAGATTTTAAAACGGCGTTTGACACAATTAAAGACAAAAAACGGAAATGAAAATAATTTTTTAGTTTAGTGTAAAATGAAAGAAAAATTAGTCATTTTTTATTTTTTGTTTTCGTTTTCTCCTCTCTCAAGCAGAGAGAGAAACATTAATGAGTTTTTTTATATTGAAAACAATCTCTTGATAAAACTACCAAACGCATTTTTAAAAATGATTTCTGTCTGAGATTGAAAACGTTTTCATTTCCATTTCACATCTAACTTTTTCGAATTTAAAATTCGAATTTTACTATAGTAAAAAGCTCTCACAAACAGTCACATATAACTTTTTTGCTACAGTAAAAAGCTCTCACATAAAATCACATCTCAACTCAAATTCTAAACTCGAATCAGTGAAACAAACGAGGTCTAATCAATATTGATTAGAGGAAGTTCCAGATTGTATTGTTTGTAAGTGCCGATGCGGTTTTCAATTAATCTTTAATAATCAATTTTATTTTCAAAAAAAAAATTTCGTATTGTACTCTATCAAATATATTGGAGTCAAAATCAACACCATAATACAAGTCGACTAAAATTAACTGGCTGAAGAATCTACTTAAGAGACATTAACAGAAAAAGTACGACGACAGGAGATCCGTGTCGAACATTACGGATAAATCAGGAAAAAATGCTCATTGAAGGCTACGAAGTCCAATCTAGTTAAATCCAAGGCACAAATCAAATCAATATTGAAGAAGAAAATAACCGCATAACAAATAAGGAAAAAAAGAAGAGAAAAGTCAATTGAAGAAAAAGAAAAGCATCTCAAAGAAAAAGGGAAACTAGAGATCAATAGATGACAGCCGGACATTCTGTAAGGATTGATGACGCATTTTTCCGGGCAGTCTCCTATAAATAGGGGTTAAGAGCATGAATTGAATATCACACCCATCACAATCAGACATCATACTTTCATTTACTCTATATCTCTATAGATTCTCTCTCTAAATCCCCTCCATTTTCTCACTTTCTTATTCTCTATTATAATTGTACTTTGGACTAAGTATATTGAAATTATGAGACCTTACAATAGAAGTAGCATTCACATTACAGGTGAACTACTATAAATCTATATGTTTATTTATTTTTTAATACTTTACTTTCTCATTTTAACGTTCTATTCGTGTGTTCATTTATTTTCTCGCACTTTATATTTCTGTTCTAACGTTCTATCGACTCTAATATATTCACAAATCATGATTGACACCCGAAAGCTGCCATTAACTCTCTAAATAAAATTAATTTTTGAATCCGACCTCTATAAAATAATTCGGATAAAGTTTCTCTATTTATGGAAGATTTTCATGACATGGTATGAACAAGTATCCTATTATTATTGCATAGTTATATAGATATATCACATTATATTCATATTAAAAACAAGTTTGTGTGTAAATTTAACGAAATTTGAAAAAAAAAAAAAAAAAAACATGACGGTTTATTGTTGTACAAAATTTTTATGATATTATTTTAAATGTCTCCTTGTTTATTTTATTAGACAACGTGTTTAATTAGTGTTTACTGCGCTAGAATAGCTATTGACCTATCGTAACTTCACTTCTCAATTATCATTCCCAATAGTAGAGTCTTTAATTGTTACACTAATTGTACATTTGAACATTTTTTTAAGGGGAAATTATACATGTGAATATATAGATTACTTTGGATCCGTTTAATTCTTTGATTTAAATTTTTAATTCGAGTTGAGATATAATTTTATGTGAGAGTCTTTTACTGTAATAAAAATATTAAATATGACTGTTTTTTAAATTTTTTTACTATAACAAAACTCAAATTTTAAACTCAAATCGACAAAATGAACGAGGTCTTTGTCAAGCTACCTAAAAAAACCGGGGGAAAGCTTATTCTGGCTGTTTAATAACACACTCTAATCATTGTTTTAACTATTTATTTTTATTTCGATTTGATTAATTTTTGTGAGCAGGTACGAACTTTTGTAATTATTATGTGAAATGATGAATGTGAAGAGTGGGGTAGGGATTACACGCTTATATTTAACAAAAAATTCCAGAGCATAATGCCATAATCCCAACTCTAACTATATATAATTTTTGGCAAATAAATAATTACGACTTTGCCCACCTCCTCCAAACATTTGTTGCCTGCATTTATTTGAATGGTTTTGACTTTGAAAGGGACTTGGTTAGTTGGTCACCCAACAGGATTCTACATGCCACGTTATGAAACAAAGCCTCACAATATTTTAATTGGCATGAAGTTAGAGTCATCTTAGACCGTCTCGTTCATTTCACCGATTCGAGTTTAAAATTTGAGTTTTGTTACAATAAAAAATTTTAATAAACAGTCACATCTAATTTTTTTACTACATGAAAAAGTTCTCACATAAAATTACATCTCAACTCGAATTAAAAACTCGAATAAATGAACTAAACGGTAAAATATATTTTCATGATTTTGTCTTTATTTTATTGAAGGTATGTGATAAAAAAAAAACAATGAAACTGTGAATTAGCAATCTTAGTTGTTGAATACCATTTGTGTAATTTAAGAATAGTATTACTTTTTATTGTGACTTTTATTATTTTTTTAGTCGGGGACGGAGGGTATTGATTTATTAGACTTTCAGGTACCATAATTATTTGTACTCTACATTAATTTTGTGACACATGTTATGGTTGCCTATAAACAGCAAAAATAGACATCGAATACCCTTTTTATTTTTTTTAAAAGATATCAGAAGACTTTTTTTTTATTATTATTTATTTATCGGTAAGTACCAATACTAAGTAAAGATATTAGAAGACGTAATTTTTGGATAATTATGTGGTAGGACATTAAAAAAAATAAAAAAAACCTACCCACAAGACATGGTTTAGGGAGTGTTTTTTTCACAATTTAAGTTGAGAATTTAAATTGTGTATGTAAGAGAAAAACACTGTAATAAAAAAATTTATTTTAAATTTTTATAAGAGAAAATATTATAGCAATAGAACTTGAATTGTGACTTCAGTTGTCAAAAAATAACCCTTAAATCTTCAAATGATACCAAAATCATGTTAAGAGTTAAAAAATTTAAACAATTTAACAAAATTTTACGAAAGTTTAATAGTTTAAAACTATAAGTAATTTATTTTTTAAAATTCTCCTAATTCATTTTTTTTTTAAACATTTTATGGTAGGGCATATAAAAATACACTACCATGATCTCCACACCACAAAAGTTATCCTCATATCCTTTTCCAAATTACTTGCGCGTAAAGCTATAAGAATTGATGACTAGTCCTGACACGGAGAGCAACAATTGTGGGAAGAATGGGATAACTCAAGATTTTGGGGCCAGTTTGCAGTGTTGTTTCCTATCAACTTGACCCATTTTGATCTGTTGTAGGGCCAAGTTGGACTTTCTACACCACTAGCTGGGTTGGGCCCAGGTTGTGATGCATAGTTAAGCCCAATCCATGTTTGTGTTGGTTTGTTTGTCCTGTTTTGTTTGTTTTTTGTTTTTGTTTCTTTTAATGTTGAGGAAGCAAGAATTTGTGGATGTTTGGTTGATGGATTCAGAATTATGATTTAGAATCATTCTTAATTTATGTGTATTTTTTATGAGAGAAAATACTGTAACGAGTCACGAACCATGATCCGAATCATGACACGAATCCACCGACCAAACGCATAGCAAAAAATTCAGATGTTTTTATTTGTAACTTTGTTTTCATTTGTTTTCTACAGAATTTGGTGGAGAGAGTGTCTTAAGGGTTCTGATGAATCATACTATATATTTAAAAAAAAATCATTTGTATCAAAGACATTACAAAACTTTATGAAGAGAAGTGTGAATTAATAAAGTTAAAAAAAAAAAAAGAAGTAAGAGAAAAGAATGGTATTCTTCAATCTTCACATTTTAACTATTCTTGTTTCTTGAGTTCCTCTCTTCATCTTTGGTTACTACCATCAATTGAAGAAGGTAGAGGAGGTGGATTCCTTGGTGTCGTTTGAGTTGGTAAATGAAGACGCCAAAGCATGATTTTTGAGCAGCCATTTGGTGGTATTCCTTTTATTTCTGTCTCGTCTTCAAGAACCACTTGTTTCACAAATTTGATAGAACTCTGTAGTGGCCGAGTCATGAATTTTTTATTAGCAGGGCTAATAACTAACAAAAATTAAATAGACACTATAAAATCAAATTTTTAAATTTTAATGGGGAATATATTAATGTAATATAATAAATATCTGTATGTATATTGTTTTCTTAATAAAAATATGGGAGAAAGAGGGAAATAGGCCAAGACTTGGGATGAATTAAAATTAATAAGCCAATAGTTTACATAAGTTAATAAATAGGCCAAATTACTGTTTTTGTCCATAACTTATATGGTTATGAACCATAACTTATCTGGTTATGAACCATAACTTGACAAGTTATTGTTCATAATTCACAATTTTTGTTCATAACTTGTCTGGTTATGAACCATAACCTGACAAGTTTGTCCATAACTTATCTGGTTATGAACTATAACTTGACAAGTTATGGCTTATTAATTTTTATAACTATAAATTAGCCTATATACTTTCTTAAACTTTTCATATCGGCATATTTTCTACTATTTTGAGTGTTGGGCCTTTTAATGACTCCATGGATGTAACAACGGAAACAAATACTATTTAGAGTGTATGAATCTGAAATTTTATTCCTTATTTTTACTTCTTATTATTGATTAATATTCTTTTTAGTCAAATAACTATATTAGTTAAAAAAAGTATTAATCAAGAATAAAGGGTAAAAATCCAGACTCATATACTTTAAGGATAAGTTCAAGAATTTTCTCAAAAATAAATAAACAAACAAACAAAGAAAAAGTCTTTCCTAGGAAGTAACATTGTTGGATTAGTACTAATTGACACTCATAATTTTTTAAGCTTTCAAAAATTATATAGTCTCACCAACTTAATATGCTCATGCAAGTCTGTCAAATGATTATATTAATGCTTGGCTGTTGGCCAAACCTCTACTGAACTTGCTAACCAAAAGAGCCAAATGGGGACAAAATATTCTAGCGGTTTGGTACAAAAGAGAGTCAGGGAAGACCCCATTTAGAGCAACCCAAATCATGATTTATCTCCACATAAATTTAACAACTTCCCTTTTGTCTTTCTTTGCATGAAAACAGGAGCAAAAGTTTCATAATTCTACTTTTTGACAAATAATGCAGAGATACCCTTTTGCATTTTGCCTAATAACCATTTGTTGGAAACATTCAAATGGTTTTACCTGGTTAGACATCACAAAAGCTATATGTATATACATGAGAAACATAACATCACATTAATTCAACATAACATTAACATTAAAAAAGCGTGACACTATTATTACACTTTTACAACGTTATTGTTACGTTAAAATAAATAATCTTATCAGGAAAAACAAACAAGACCTATAAATTATATATACATGTTTGGCATTGTTATAGTCGTACACTATAATATATATATATGTAAGTGAAAAGTATAACATGAAACTTATTTAGTGTAATACTGACGTTGAAATGATGTAACACTACGAGATTTAGTAATCCTAGAATATTGTTATAACTTTACAATATTAACAGTACATTGAATAAATTTTATTTTAAATGAAGAACGGTAGGGAAAAATGTGTGTATTTATGCATGTATGAATACTTAAAAATACCTGAGAGGTGCTTTGGACAGAGGAAGTTCGACCCCATCTTTCTGGATCCCAGAGGATTGAGCTGTTGAAGCCGAAACTTGAAATATTAATTGGAGGCTTGGAATCCTCAGTTTCATTGTTCATTTTCCTCAGATGCCATCCTATAACTTGTGAATAATCACAGACAGGTCCTTCAATTGTCACCTTATTCCTTTTTGCTGCCAGTAGTGCCACTGGCCATGTCCCAAATGCCCTGCAAATTACTCAAACCAATCAAGCTTGATCTTTTAACCCCCATAAAACAAGTAACATTTACTTACAACCCAAGTCTTCTTTCAAAAAAAAAAGAAAAGGTTTCCTTGTCTTATATTTTAAGTCCCTTAATGTAAATACTTGAAAATTATGCTGTACAAACAATGATAACAGATGAAAAATAAATATCTGCATTATAATGTTTATGATAAGATTTTGTTAATATACGTGTCATTGCTTGTTTGTATATATATTTGTATATATATATATATATTGGTCCATAACTTTAAGAATACCACCACAGCTGTTCAACAGCTAAGGAACCATAGGATCTTACGTCTAACAAAAGGTCTCCCATGCAAATAAAAATTTTCAAACAAGCCCCTACAAAAGTAATGATAAGTTTCCTCATGAATTAAAAATCTTCAAAGTTAAGTAAGAGATTTGATAGATGAGAAAGGATTAGTAGGATTCTAATTAGCATACTCGATTTTTCGGAGCTCGTTGAAGAATTCGAGATCATAGACATTAGAAAGGCCTGCAAAGTGGACAATCCCGCTGAGCCTGTGGTGCTCAATGTGCTTGAGCGCAACATTCCTTTGGTGATCGAGTTCAGCCTCAGTGTCTGTGAAGTTCTCTTTGAACACCAAATGCCTGTACATGATTCCTGTTTTCCTTAGTGTTCGCGACGCTTCGTCCGATTCGGTTTGGCCCTCAACAACAATCCACAACAATGGTGGTGGAACCAAGCCTATAGTGTTGGCCAACCTCCTCAGAAGCACACCTTGAGAGAACTTGTCCTTTGTGCTTGTCGGTGTGACTATGATCACAAGCTTCCTCGGCGTCAAATCGAGTTTTTCTTCTTCTTTTCGTCGTTCTTCTTGTTGTTCTTCTCCTTCCTCTTCTGACAATTTTACCCTTTGAAGGTGCTCTAACTGAGGCATGGCCTCAGGAAGAGCCGCTTCCAAAGGCGTTTCACCTGCACGACTCGTATTCGCCCGTTGAAACGTTTCGACCGGCGGATGCACCGGAGGAACCTCCGGCTTGTTTGATGCAACAACATGGTTATAATGAGAGAAAATTGAAGACTTACTAGTTGGGAAAAAGCCAGTGAAGAACCCCATGACAAAGCATAAAGAGAAATGGACAATAGCCTTTTTCCATAGATGGACTCTCTTTTTTGTTCTTTCCACTGATCCCATATGGACTTTTTTTTTTTTTTTTTTTTTCCCCAAAACCTTAAACAATCCGAAGAGGTCCCAAATCTATATTTATGACATGAAAAAAATGGCTAATTATATTGGCAGAATATGGTTATAGAGAGCTAGAGACTTAGAAGACTGATATGTTTATATAAGGTGGGAATTTATATTTGTAATATTGAGAAAGTTATGGAAAAGTTTTTAACTTTTTACTTGAAATATGGAAAGAAGGGGAAGGATTCTTTTGATTGAAACTAGCAAACTCAAAAGATATAGTAGTGTGTGTGTGTTTTGCTGGTTTGGCACTGTTTGAGATAGTTGTCCCTTGAAGTCAAAGGAAAATGGAAGAAGAATGATAGTGAGAGCTTGATTGTGGCAGCACCAAATTGTTCGTTGGGATGGAACCCATCAACTAATTTGCATCATATTTTAATTTCTATTGGCTAATTGTTTTGGATCTGATGTGAGTTAACTTGGGAATAAGTAAAAAAGATTTTAAAAGGAAACAACATTTTAAGAAAATAGAAGGATTAAGATGCCCCCAATTCTTAACTTCAGCAGGACTCCAACTACCCAAATGCTAACATTGTTAAAATGTGTCTATAGAACGTGTAGCTTATTTTTTATTTTATTTTATTTTATTTATTTATTACTATTATTATTTTTTTTGGCAAATGAAAAGTTGACATAAGTATAGCAGATAAGAATCGATCGAGAAGGAACGGATCATATAACATCAAAAGTAAAATATGTCATTAAGAAAAATTTTCTTAATGTGGGCCCGACATTTTCTTTTGCTGGAATGCGGGTCCAACATTACACCAAGAACAAACTGTTTGCAGATTTACACCTTCTCTAGTTATGATGATTATTGAAGTAGGTTTTTAAGGATTGTTTAAACTCAAAAGAAAGCCATTTGAAGGGTGTAGAAAAGAAGAGTTGAATAAGCTGCAAGCACATGAATGAAGTTGCTCCATTTTTTTTTTTTTTTCCTTCAAGACGATACCTTTGTAAAGTTATAATTTTCTATTAGACCCCAAGAACCAAGGATCACGTGAAATAATAGCACTTGCGGCAAGGACCATTAAGTCAAACAGTATGGGTAAAACCACCCCAACAATGGCATAAACCTGAACAAACAGGCGACTACAAGCAAAGTGCGGGAACAATTTCTTTGTTAATGGATCTTTAATGGACATGAATCAAGTCGAACTTCTGATATGAGCTCTACATTCAATACAACTACAAGGTTGTCACTACAGGTTGAAAAAAGCAGAAGAGGGATTAACTTAAAAGTTCTATATAAACCATTGCTGCAAATGCCACTTCTTAATCACGTTCAGCGTCTTCAATTTCTTCGTCCTCTGGCACTCCACGAAGATAAAGAACATTGTTACACCTGCAGGAGAAAGAAAGAAAAATAAATGCGGTGAGTATCTGATAAACAACACACAAATAAATGGCTTGCCAAGAAAAGGATAGGTCGTCTCCGCATGGGAAGGAAAAAAATAACAAATTGAAGAAGTTGAGGAGCTTTGGTAGCTTTACGCAGAGAAATCGATCTAAAAATAAACAGAACCAAAAACCCACATGATAACTTTAACTCACAACCACATATATAACACAGCATCCATAAAACCAGTCAAAGGATATCTTCCTCTAGCCAGGAGCTACTTTTCTAATTCTGAATCCAATTGTTTCAATGAGCTAAAGAGTCATTTTAAATCAGCCTCTTCTTATATTGTGCACAACTTTCGACAAGAGCCAAGAGTTGCAAATGTTTATTTTAACCACCCATGACTTAATGTAAAGAATGATTATTATTGTCAATCAAGAAAACACACCCGACAAGAATTTTATAGTAAGACCACCTTCCCAGTATCACTCTCAGATAGCCAGCCAAGAACTAGAAAAGAAACTAGATCTCCTTGGTGAATGCAACAAAACTAGTTCTAATTCAAAATCAACTGGTACGATAGCCAAAGCTAATTTGTTTCATTCAATCGCCCCTGATCTAATTTATAATGTGGATAAGAAATTGCTAAAAGTTTTCAGGTAAACCATTACCAACAGATCAACTCAATGCACATTGATACCCAAAAAAAAAAAAAAGTGATAGTGTCCAGGTAAAAGCTACTTTGCCCAGTGGCTATAACAGACAACAAATAAACCTTTTGGCCATTTTTGCACAAAGTTATTTGCACATCTAACAAAGGTAGCCCTTGTATAAGATAACATATTTTATAATACAAACGTTTGTTACTTGCGAACTTAAAACATGGTCAAACTAGCAAACTCTTGCTGAAAACATGAAAGATTTACAAAATCGGACCAGGGGTTTCCAGCATTCTTGCACCAGGGAGAAAGTTACCTGATCAAAATTTCACCAAGATTTCCAGTGAATTGTCCATCAATAAACTCTTCCGTATTGGCCAACTGCAGGTAGGTTTCATTCATCGGACGATGTTAATAACCATTGGGATTTCCGAAGTAAACAAGGTAAGAATGTAGATAATTGTGATAGAAAATACAAAAAATCTCCGCAAAAAATGAAAGTTTACTATCATAAACTAAATATAACAGCATAATAGTAAGTGAAACATATAAAGCAACAAAATTTTGCACAATTCATTATCCATATATAAGCAGATAACCTATAAGTAACATTGGAAACACAAAAAAGAAAAAAAAAAGGAAAAAATCTAAAGTAAATACGAAATATTACAAGCATCACAATTAGGCACCACAAAAATGAGATTTTTCACACAAAAAGCTAGTGTGGAAGTTGAGAAAATACCTGCAAGTTCATGTAAGAATCCACAGAGACAAGAAAACCTGAAGACAAACCCAACAGAAACGAGAGTTAGGAAGTTACAGTGTTCGTGCCAATTAAGCCAAAAATGAATATATATATATATATATATATGTGTGTGTGTGTGTGTGTGTATGTATATGTATACGTATAAATGTAGCAAAAAACCTTTGTACTCCATCCCCCATTTGAGCTTCACAATGACAGTCTTTCCAGTCAAATTGTTCAAAAAAGGTTTCGGGTTAACCGGGATCGTCTGCAAAGATCCAAATACATTGTATTATATCAAATACCAAAGCGAATTTTTTGAATAAATGAATCAAAATCAAATCATCCGACATAAATTCCTTCGGGGAAAGAAATAAAAAAAGAAAAAGTAGCATATTTGTTTATTGTTGAGATGAGAGAGAGAGAGAGAGAGAGAGAGAGAGAGTAGAGAGTATAAGAAGAAACTCACAGCCATTGACGAGCTTGGAGGAGCGTAGGTAGCTGAAGGGCTGTGTGGTTTTTCCCTCTCGGATCTCTCTGCTTCTGTTTGGTTTGCAGAAAAATGATTCCAGGTTTTAGGGTTTTGTACGTTTCACAGAGCGCTCAAAACGACGAGTCGTAAAGGTCGAGTTGGAGTTGGGCCTGGGCATGGGATTTGGGCTTATATTGGATCCCAAAGCGAGGATTACTGAAGTTACTTAGGCCCGCTTAATTGGTTGGAGTTTTTAATTTGAATTGAGATATAATTTTATGTAAGAATTTTTTATTATAGTTAAAAAAGTTAGATGTTACTATTTTTAATAACTTTTTACTGTAGCAAAACTCGAATCGGTGAAATAAATAAGGGCTTAAAGTATTAATCAATACTCATATATTTTTATAAGGGGTATTTATAAAGATTTCTCCTCTGAAAATTTAGAAGAAAAGAGATAAATATGGATCTAAATTTTTAATCCTTTTTAGTTAAACAAGTATATTAATTAAAAATGTATTAATAAAAATAATGAGTAAAAATCTGACTCATACTCGATTTACATGTGGATGTTTGGTTGATGAATTCAGAATCATTTTTGATTTATGTGTGTTTTTTGTGAGAGAAAATACTGTAATGAGTCAGGAATCATGATCTGAATCATGACACGAATCCACCAACCAAACGCATGATATTATTATTTTTTTAAAATGGGCAAAGATTGTGTTCTTTTTTTTTTTTTTTTTGGGAGAGCATTAATTAACACCCTTTCTTTATATATAAATCATTAACACTGATTTTTATTGAAAACTATCAACACCGTTAATATAGTAAAAAAGATCAAATATTTTATAACACTAAATAAATATTTCATAAATACTTGTGGTAATTTTTTTTCTTTTTGAGGAAGAATTATGGTACGTATGTATGTCAAGAATGTGAAATCCGAGTTAAAAAGAAAAAGTGAACTTCGAGACTTTTTAAAATATCAAGAATGCCCTTTCTTAATTTCATTGTCGTTTCAGAAAAAAAAAGAAAAAGAGAATTCCATTGTCGTTTTCTCACTTTGGATCTTCTGTTTGAAGTCGTTAACCAGTTCCTTGTCTCCATTGTTGTAGGTTTTACCTGTTTCATCGTTTCGTACACGTTTTATCACTCCTTTAACCGTCACAGATACGACACGTTGTTTACTCAAGACTAACAATAAAATACGTGTCGTTTATACATGTTTTAAGAGCATGCCTTATTATTAACGCCGGTAATACGGGTCACGACACGACAACACGACAACACGACAAAAAAACGACACGAACTTTACGAATTATGATTAAAAAAAAAGAGGTTCGGGTCAAAATTGAATCGATTTGAAATTAACACAAAAAATACAAGTCAATTTCAGATTGGATCCGCCTAATCCGAATACGACACGAAATTCATAAAAAAACTAAAAAATACATATATTTGATTTTATTATGAACTTGTGATATCATGATAGTTATACTCAAAATCTTATACTATTATTTGCTTAATTTTAATGGATGTTATTATATTTTAGTGTGTTATGAATTTTAAGTTATTTCTAATATGTAAATTTTCGTGTTAATTTCGGGTTCACGGGACAATTTCATATCAAGAGTCATTTTCGTGTCGTGTCGTGTCAACCGTAAAGTAGTCGTGTAATAAAGTAGTCGTGTAATATTCATGTTGCGGTTTTTAAAAAATTTTGTGTCACAAGTCGTGTTTAAATTACCTGTAAATTAAAAAAAAATGATTAAAATACGACGCGAACACGATACGAAAATGACCACCCTACCTGTTATCCTTCGTGATTACTAGTCGTTTCACTAGCTCAGTCATTTTCTCGTCTTCTTTTCATTCATGAACAAAACTAAACTCCTCTTTTCCACTTTCATATCACAGAAGCACTATTACAGCCATGATAAAGAAACTCAAACCCCAAGTTCGACTGAGCTTTGATTATTGCACTAAACCAAGTTTTCAACAGCGAAACTTTCCAAACTTAACGACCGAACAATCCAGCAACGAGTATATAAAGTCGTTGTCCGTGCAAAAACGACACAAAGAAGCTCTTGAAGCATTTGGGTTCATCGAAAAGACCACAGATTTTCGAATAAGCCCCAGCACTTACGCCCATTTGATTTCCGCTTGCTCGTCATTGAGGTCTCTCGAACATGGCAAGAAACTCCACAACCATATCTTGACGTCGAAATGTGATCCGGACATTGTTCTTCGCAATCATGTACTGAATATGTATGGGAAATGTGGGTCCGTGAAGGATGCCTTGAAGGTGTTCGACGAAATGCCGCAACGAAATATTGTTTCTTGGACTTCGGTGATATCTGGGTGCTCGCAAAATGGGCAGGATAAGGATGCTGTGGAGTTGTATTTTCGGATGAGGCGAGCGGGGTACGTCCCGGATCAGTTCACGTTCGGAAGCGTTATAAAAGCGTGCTCTGGTGTTGGTGATCCATGGCTGGGGAGGCAGCTTCATGCCCATGTCGTTAAGTCAAAATGTGGGGATCACCTTATTGCACAAAATGCTCTTATTGCAATGTACACGAGATTCGGTCGAATAGATGATGCCTCCAACGTATTTTCGCGTATTGCGACGAGGGATTTAATATCTTGGGGTTCGATGATAGCGGGGTCATCCCAACTTGGTTATGAGTTAGAAGCTTTGCATCACTTTAAGGAAATGTTACGCCAGGGTGCTTACAAGCCTAATGAGTTTGTGTTTGCGAGCGCTTTCAGCACTTGTAGCAGCCTTCTGCAGCCAGAATACGGAAGGCAGATACATGGGATGTGTTTAAAATTCAGTTTAGGGAGAGATATTTTTGCTGGTTGCTCTCTCTGTGACATGTACGCGAAATGTGGGTTCTTGGAGTGTGCAAAAACAGTTTTTAATCATATAGAAAGTCCGGATTTGGTGTCTTGGAATGTCATTATTTCAGGTTTCGCTAGTATTGGAGATGCCAATGAAGCCATTTCATTCTTTAATGAGATGAGATATATGGGGTTTATTCCTAATGATGTAACTGTTATATCCTTACTTTCTGCTTGCAGAATCCCATCGACGATCTTTCAGGGAATACAGATCCACTCCTACGTTGTGAAGCATGGCTTCAATTCTTATGTTCCCGTGTGCAACACATTACTTACCACATATGCAAAGGGTTCAGCTTTAAGTGACGCTTTTAAAGTGTTTGAGGATGTGAAGAGCCGCGCTGATCCAGTGTCTTGGAATGCCATTCTAACCGCAAGTGTGCAGCACAACCAGGCTGAAGATGTTTTCAGATTATTTAGGACAATGCTTTTTTCTCACATTAGGCCTGATCATATCACTTTGAGTAATTTAATTGCAGCCTGTGCCATTATAGCATCTCTGGAGGTAGGAAATCAAGTTCATTGCTTTTCAATGAAAAGTGGGCTTGTGCTGAATGTTTCAGTCACTAATGGACTGATTGACATGTACACAAAGTGTGGATCACTTGAAACTGCTAGAAAGCTCTTTAATTTAATGGAAAATCCCGATATTGTCTCGTGGAGTAGTTTAATAGTAGGTTATGCTCAGTCAGGATATGGAAAGGAAGCTCTTGAACTCTTTAGAATAATGAAAGATTTCGGTACAAGGCCAAATGAAATTACATTTGTTGGAGTCCTTACTGCTTGCGGTCATGTTGGATTAGTACAAGAAGGATGGAAAATCTATAGAACAATGCAAATGGAACATGGAATTTCACCGACCAGAGAACACTGCGCTTGTATGGTGGACTTGCTCGCTCGTGCTGGACTCTTATACGAAGCGGAGGATTTCATCAAGCAAATGCCGTTTGAGCCTGACATTGTGGTATGGAAGACTCTCTTAGCAGCCTGTAAAACCCACAGGAATGTCGACATAGGAAAACGGGCAGCAGAGAATCTTGTAAAAATCGATCCCTCCAATTCTGCTGCTCATGTTTTGCTTTGTAGCATACATGCTTCTTCTGGAAATTGGGAAGATGTTGCTAGATTGAGGAGCTTGATGAAAGAAAGGGGGGTTAGGAAGGTTCCGGGTCAGAGCTGGATTGAAACTAAGGGTAGGGCCCATATATTTTTCGCTGAAGATACTTTGCATCCCGAGCGGGAAAGAGTATACGAAGTGCTTAATGAATTATGGTTGCAGATGTTGGATGAAGATTGTGATCTACTCGAGATAGGCTTTTGAAAAACAAATGAAGTTTTTCTAACTAGCTGACTCCCTTTGCAGTTCAGGACTGCATATTGGCTACCAATACCATAACCACTTGGGTTTGCTTCTTCAGTTTGAGGTTATTGTGGTTTTTAAAAGCTCTAGAAAGAGAAACAAGTTAAAAGGGCAAAATGCTTTTGTTCATTTTACCGAACACTATGGTTTCATCATTTTTGTGGGGAATACTTTTTAAAGGTTCGAAAGCAATCCAAAATTGGACCTTAATGTGAGATTCATTCATTAGTGTAGATGAATAGCATATTTGTTCTACTTGTGTGCTCCACATGTTGTATTTTGTGTACATACAAATCACACATTTATAGTCAAATTTTTAGTTACAACTTTTCTGCATTTTTATCAATATTTTCAAACGTAAAGCAGATGTTCTTTCATTCTTTCATTTCCAAACCTGTATATGCTGGACTTTTAGTAACGGGTTTACAACCACCCTGCCCAAGAGTGAAATGGGAAAAGACCAATTTGCCATTGACTAATGTCTATTGGATAAGTAAATGATGAACAATATATAATAATGTTATTCTCAATATCTCCACTCTAACCATGCTCATCAGTAACTAAAGGTGGCATTTGAGGTATGCAAAACTTGTAGCCTATGGCCAGACCGGAAAAAAAAAAAAATGAATACAATGTCATCAGGAAATAATAATTAAGAGGACTCCATGGAAGATTGATTATTTCCGACGACAGCCTTTTTCTTCCTTTTCTTTCGGGGTGGTTCTTCCTTTTCTTTTGGGGTGGTTGATATTGATTCTCTTCGTGGCCGGTGCTTCTTCCATTTCTTTTTGTGCAACCCCAAAGCCCAAGATGGAAACTCAGAGCCTGAGCTTTTCATTTCATTCGCTATGTTCCGCAAAAATGGAACATCTTCCTCTGTGTACAAAGTAATAGCTTCTCCACTTCTCCCCGCTCTACCACACCGACCTTCATACAAGATCAAAACCAACGCAAGAAGTTTTACAATCATATCAATGTACCATGGTATTAACTATGTTTTTTTTTTCTTTCTTTTTTTTATGTCTCAGACAAACCTTTCTGCTGAATTAGTTCCAATGGCGGAATGGCCACATGGATAGGTTACACATATTAGTATGAGTATAGTAGACTTGGATATTGGGTACGTACCAATCCTGTGAATGTATGCTGACGTAGAATCAGGAAAATCATAATTAATCACACAGTTGACACCTTTGAAATCCATACCCCGGGCAATAACATCAGTCGCGATCAACACCCATGTTTTGCCAGCTCTGAAGTTATCAACAGCGTTGTTTCGCTGTATTCCATTTGATAAATTAGCAAACCGAGTAGGTTTATGTTGTCCAGAGTAGATAGGGTTTGTAAATACAATTACTTGTGCAGCAAGGCAAAATACATCCAAATGACCAAATTAAGAATTTTGTTCTAGTTTCTGTTTAATTGAACCGTTCTTAAATCAGATGATGTGCAATTATGCAAGCTAGAAAAGAGCATTTTCTCTTAATAAATTATAGGGGCCTATTTTAACTGAACCATAAGGAATGAAGTTAATACATAGAAACGAGAAGAACAAACTTACTTGTGCCTGAGATAAATCAGAATGGATGACGTCAACCCTAATGTTGTCAACTACCAGTTCTGCATGGAGTTCCTTAGCTCGCTCCTTGCTTTGAACGAAGATTAGCACCGGCGGATTCAGACTCTACCAACAAGTACAAGGTAAAACAAAAAGGATAAGTTGGTCAAGGAGATTTAAGATGATTCAATTGGAAATACTACTAATAGTGACAAAATAACAGGTACGCAAATGCTATTGCATGAGAAACAGACATGTTTATTCTTTTTTTCCAATGGGCATTTATATGGAGCACAAACCATATAAGGTGCTTACCGTCAACCTTCAGGTTCTTTAAAGAATTCATTTCACAATGATATGAAAATCAAAACCATCTTTTCAGTTTTACTAAAAAAAGTTTTTCCTTTTAGACGAGCAGAGGAAGTCTAAGTGAAAGAATCGTTCTGTCAGATGCAAACTAGCATCATACCTCTGCAAAGCTTTGACGAAGTGCTAAAAGTTTGCCTTCTTCACTTCCCGCAAAAACCAACTTCTGCTTGACATTTTCAGAAGCTGTATTCCTATTTGAAACCAAAATGATAAATTCAGAATATGTAATGCATACTGTACACTGGTTTTGCAATAAAGTAACATTAACTTACTTCCTGCCAATAATAACCCGAACAGCGTCATGCATTATTGTACGCGCAAGCTCTTCGACAAAATCAGGCAAGGTAGCACTAAATAATGAGCGTACTATTGAAGGATTTGAGCATGCTTTGACCACTGAATCAATCTGTTTTAACAACCCAAGCTCAAAAAGCTTATCAGATTCATCCAAGACAAGGTACTCAACCCTGCGTAACACCAGAAACTTGTGAGAAAGAAATTCAAACCAATTCCTTTAAACGCTGTCTATTCCCTCTTTGGTCAACAAGAAATGAGACTCTAAATACTACGAATTCCAGTTATGAAGGGGTAATATGCCTAATGCCTATTATGAATATAAGTGAGATTTGGGTAGTCTTGATGCAGACATATATTATGCCTTTTTCTGTTATTTGAATACAGAACGTAAATAAATTGCAGAAAACCAAGATAAAGTTTTATTTTTATGTTATTATCATCATCAGTAAGTCCAAAAGACCAATAAATTTAGCACCACTTACTTGCTTAAATCAATATGCTTCTTCCGGATAGCCAACTTTAACCGAAGTGGAGTAGATATAAGTATGTCACAAGAGAACTTTGATAAGTCAGCTCTTTTTACACGCTGTTTAGACATTAATTTAATACAAAATTTACATCCCTCAGCAAATCTTTTGCATTCTCTGGTTGTCTGAGTAGCCAATTCACGAGTAGGGCAAAGGATAACAGCTCTGATGCCGTCTTTAGATGCACGCTGATCACATTAAAAAAGCACATCAGCATAATTCAAGAATCAACATCTAAAAATATAGAAAAAAGCATGCAAAAAGTACCTTAAGTTTCATTAGGATGGGGCAAACAAAAGCCAAGGTCTTGCCAGAGCCAGTTGGAGCACAAGAAAAGCACTCCCGTCCCTAAGAGGAAAAAATGATCGAGCTATTAAAAGGGATTGAAATAATGATAACAAAGTGATTTTAACTTCATAGAAAAGTTAATAATGCTCCTGCAACCAAACCATGGATGGTCAATTTTGACCTTCTATGAGTGAATATATGAAACCAAGGGAAGGAAATGGAAAACATGAGCATAGGATAGCATAGAAGGAAGAACATACAGATAAAAGGACTGGTATAGCCTGCCTTTGGATTGGCGTTGGCTCCTTAAACCCAAGGTTTGCCAAATTGCGAAATAATTTTGCCTTGCATCCGAATCTGTAAAGATAAGTTCTTATTTTCAGTCATAAATACAGAAGATTAACATTTCAAGATACCAAAGAGCAGAAGAAAAAAAGAAAAAAATGTAATTAGGAGTTAGGACAATGATAATATTATAACTGAAAAATAGCAGTGTAGAAGCTTATAGGAAAAGTATGGATGAAAAAAAGCTTAAGCTTTAAGACCATTTCCAATGTAAATGCTAATGCTAATTGTATATTTAACATCAAAAAATATGATATGGTATGTTACTTTCATTTTTGCTCCAATGCATAATGCTATTTAAAATGATAAATCTACCTTTTTCTATAATCATTAAGTTTTGAAAGTTGTAAAAGTAAACTTTTATTTTAAAAATAATTAGAAAATGCAAAAGTTGCAATGATTACATAAAAAAGTAAACATCTCAACCAATAGCAATCGAATATCAAATTTCTCATATGCTATACTTAGTGGGAAATTTGCCACCAAGTATAGCATATGGAAAATTTGGCACAACAAACAGTATTGTATTGAAAAATATTTTTTGCACTCAAATGTTAAATTTGCAATTGGCACCTCAATTATAGCATTGCATTGGAGATGCTCTAAGGGAGAAACAAAATTAAGCCAAAACCCAAACAAAGAACACGGCATGGTAGAAAAGAGGAGGAAGTCAAAGAAACCAAATAAAATCATAAAAGAGCCGCACATTCTCTAATTCTATGCACTTGCACTTAACGGAAAATCTAGGATAAGAATAATAAGCCAATAACAACAATAGCAACCCACTTTAAATCAACAATGGCTACACCATGAAAGAGATACTAATGAATTACCAGAGGGGACTTGTGCACTGCAAAAAGAGTTCTAAACATGCCGAAAACTCATATAGAATTTCAACATATTATTGTATTTTATACATTCCAAAAGGAAAAAATAAATCTTTGGTAACTTTTCTTCAAAAGGAACAAAAGGCATACCTTGAGCTTAACTCCGCAAAATCTCCTAGTGGGGAGGGGATATTGTTCCCAGAAACATGAATGTTGTGCTTCTTCCTGAAAAGGGCATCCCTCTAGCCTCATGAACAAAGGAAAACACAGATGATGTTACGCGGAAATCAAAAACAAAATAGAAAAATCACTCTTCTAAAAACAAAAAAGGTAGAAGAACCTCTAATTGCTGATAAAATTTCTTTTTCTCCAGAGAGAGATCATTCTCAGGCTGCTCATTTTCTTCTTTCACCACTGGTTCTTCTGATTTTGAACTCTTGAAAACGCTAAATCCCTCCACGGTTTCTTTTTTTTTTTTTTTTGACACAGATAAAAAATTTTCAATAAATAAATCATTAAATAAGGCTTAAACCTTTAATTCCTTTTGAACAGAAATGGTGAAACCAATTATAATTACCAGAACGTATTGTCTTCCTCTTTCTCTTCTTCACACGTACTTTCTCTTTCTCTTTCTCTTTCTCTTTCACTTTCTTTTCCTCTTCCTCTAATTCTGGTTCTCTATCTTCGAACAAGCTCGAATCGTCAATTGCTTTATCGCTTTCCTTCTTCTCCTGAACAATATCCAGGTCCAATACTAAAAAGATTAGTGCTGAACAGAATCCACTACATAAAAAAACCTTAACTTTCCCGAGAACCAAACAGAAACTAGAAACCGATCAGGTCATAGCAAAAGCGGAAGAAAATTATCAATCAATTCATCAGTTTCCTTCTTCTCCTAAACAATGTCCGAACTCCGAATACAATACTAATACGATACATATTTAAAAAAAGAGAGAAAACAAATTGACTTTCTCGAGAGCCAAAACAGAAAATAGAAAACTGATAATGCTAATCGTACCTTGAACATGGCGATGTCGGCGGCGAACTTCTTCCTGTCGAAGTGGGTTCCGGCGAAGAGAAAAGACGAATCTTTTTCCATTTTAGAAGGCGATAAAAATTGAATTTATTATTATGGAAAGCCAAAACAAAAAAGAAAACCCTAAACTCTGCAAATTAAATTGCCGGAGAATTGGTTTTATCGGCGATGATAATGAAAATGGGTTCCTTCCTTCTATCTTAGACCCTACACTAAACCCTGCTATTGCTGGAACGACATTTATTTGCAAGTCTGATAATAACCAAGTATTGAAAAACGACAATGTTGCATAAGTGTCTCTAGTAAACGACAAGAATGGGGAAGGAGAGAATTTTGTCAACGACACAGAGCTCCGTCTCGCCATAAAACGACAAGAACTCAAGAACAACATGGCTTAGAAAACGACGAACTCGGGAAACGACAACATCACTGAGAGCAACATTGTCCTGAGAAATGATAATAACTAATTCAACATTAAGTTAAAAAAAAAGAATAAAAAATCTAATTCAACAAATGTTCCATAAAAAAACTAAAGCTTCATTCGCTTCGCGGATTCAAGTTTTCAATTCGAGTTGAGATGTGATATTTTCTAAGAGCTTTTAACTGTAGCAGAAAAAATTAGATTCGACATTTTCTGAGAGCTTTTAACTATAAAAACTTATAACTGAAAATTTGAATCTGCAAAATGAACGATACCTAAGTATTTTAACAAATAAGTAAAAACATAATTCATTAAACTACGTATTTTAACGAATAAGTAAAAACCCTTTCAGGTTCACTCCAAAATAACACAAGTCAAAATTGGAAAAAAGAAAAAAATTATTTTTTTCATTTCACCGGGATTTTGTCATTGTTTATATGACGTTGTTTTCAATATTCTTGTTCATTGTTGAGTTAGCTTTCGATCAGTCTAGGTCTCTCGTAAAAAAGGAAGAAAGAAAACTAAAGGTCTACGGCTAGGTCTCTCGTAAATAAATCCAATGAGTACAAAACATGTATAAAAGTTATATTAGAAAAAAAAAGAAGTTAATGTTAATAATACGTACATGATATTCTTTTACGGTAAATTGGAGAATTTATGAGTAGATCATAGTCATATTTTTTTTCAATTAAAAATGTACAGTTCGACATTGTTGGTACAAATACATGATTGTTAATAATCTAAGATTAATATTAGCATTTTCTAATATTAGAGAGTGATGAAGTTTGAACCCGTTTCAACTCGGTACAAGATTCCACAATAGAATGAATAATTAATTTATTACCTCAACAAATTAAGTTGATAGATTCAGCCAATCAAATAATTTAATTTCCAATACATGTTTATTATTTTTTTATTGTGAAAAAATTATGATATTTTCCCATTTTGTATAGTTCTTTGTATGTTAATCATTTTGTATAGTTGTAAGGATGAAATACGGTATTACGGATCATTAAATTTTTATTAAACTTCTTTTTGTTTGCAAATCCTAATCACGTTATACTTAGTTTCTTATGAAACCCACTTCTATAGGGATTCACGTTTGTTTTTCCTAATCGTCGTAAATTCAACTTAGATTCATATTCGAACAAGTTACATATCACATTAATATATATATATATATATATATATATCCAATACATGTTTATTATTTTTTTTAATGTGAAAAAGTTATGATATTTTCCCATTTTGTATAGTTCTTTGTATGTTAATCATTTTGTATAGTTGTAAGGATGAAATACCGTATTACGGATCATTAAATTTTTATTAAACTTCTTTTTGTTTGCAAATCCTAATCACGTTATACTTAGTTTCTTATGAAACCCACTTCTATAGGGATTCACGTTTGTTTTTCCAAATCGCTTTATCTCCTAATTCTAGTTGGTGTTTCGTAAATTCAACTTAGATTCATATTCGAACAAGTTACATATCACATTAATATATATATATATATATATATATCAATTTGTTAGTACTCTTTTTGCATTCCACAAATACGTACCACTCAACAAGAACTGAGAGAGCTGAGGACTTGAAGAAGAAATAAAAGGTTTGTTTTTCTTTTTGAACTACTAATTAAGACTTCAATTATCTTTGTTTGCGTTGGTTGGAGTGGTTTTATTTTTATTCTATTTATAACTTTTATCTTTTATACTTTTACTTACTTATTATCGAATGTTTTTTTTTTAGTTAGAGCATAAAAAAATGGTCAAATTAAATGTTTATATTATGGCAGTTAGATTATAATTACAATTCTTATTTAAATGATTTCTTTAATAGATCATGATAAATATAATAGTCACATTCATATTCATTATCTATTACGTACAAGTCCTGTGCATGCACTTTTGCTTTTTTTTTTTTTAAATAGAAATTAATTTGTCTATTTTAAATCGTTATATTAATATATAAACATTGAACAGTACATATAACCAGTTTCAACAAGAACTGATCAACACGAAGAAGAAGATGTGTGCCGGGGATATCATTACCGATCATCAAGCAGCTACTACTTGTAGGCGTTTGAAGATCGTATTTAACCAGACGTTGGGTGTGGCAGACGGCGTCAGTGGCTGGGCAAAACAAGGCATCGACTCCGGCCACTACGCCCGCAAACTCATGAAGAACTCGGCTGATGCAGTGGTAGCTCTAAAAGGAACTGACGGAAATCCGATAGGTGATCCTGAGAGGATTCTCCAGGAGGCTTTCTCCAACACAACTGGCGTCCAAGGGGCGTCCACGGCTTGCATAGTCAGCCACAACGACGGGGTTTTACGCGCCGCGAATGTCGGGGACAGCGGGTTCATGGTGTTCAGGGACGGGAAAATGATGTACAAATCGCAGACTCAGCAGCGCCGCTTCAACTGTCCCTACCAGTTAGGGAATCACAGCTCATGCGACCGTCCCGATTCTGCCATTCAAATGGAAGTCACGGTTATGGTGGACGACCTTGTAGTGCTCGGGACCGATGGATTGCTGGACAACATGCACGTCGAGGAGATCGAGAAAATCATTGCGATGACGATGGTAGCGAAGGCAGAGAGAGAAGGAAAGACGGTGGAGGAGAAGTTGGCGAGGGAGATAGCAGAAGCCGCGTATTACAAGTCGTTGGACAAGTATGGCGATTGTCCTTTTGTGAGAGCTAGTTTATTGGAGGGGAAGCATCACAAAGGAGGAAAGGTGGATGATATAACTGTTGTGGTTGGGAGGATTATCCAAAACTACGATCTCCAGGTAATTACTCTGTTTAACTTTTTTATTTTTTGTTCATGTGTTGAAGTCACAGATATGATATTTAATATGAAAAACTCAAGTATGCTTGTTTTGTTTCACGTATTTATTGATCTATTTTGTTTGCAGATCAAGATCAACTCAGACCAAAAAAGTACCCCGGAGTGAAGACGGTCAACGCACGAAGATGATTGTACGAGGCTTACTTTTGAATTTTGTTGATTTGCGGGGGTTTTTACTTTGCAAGCGTAGGCACTCTTTTTCCCTTGCTAGGTTTTTCCCATAGGGTTTACTAGCAAGGTTTTTAATGAGGCCTATCATAGATTCTAACTATCAAAGGCGTGGTTTAGGCTTTGTTTTATGGCGTCAGTTTCTGCTTTGCATCGTTTCCCGCTTAACATATATACAAGTTTAGTTTTGTTTCTAAGATCGTTCTTGATATGTAATTAGAACGCATGACGTTGGATTTGCTTTGATATTTTCCATTCTCTTATTAATAATATGTTGGGGATGGGTAGATGATGAGGGTGCTACGGGGGTGCCAACTTAGTTGGGATTCTCTGGTGCACCTCCTGATCCCTATCACCCAACAACCTCAGTTTTTAGATTTGGATTGTACAGCATTCTTTTCTTGGATTTTTATTTTGTTTATACATACTTTTGTATTAATACTTAAATCATTGCTGTTGTTTTTTCGCATCTTAAGTCCTAAATATGTATACATTTCTCACAAAGGTTGATTCGAAATATTTCGCCTATTGAAAGCGCAATAAAATATCAATGCGATACTCCGAGGTCAAATTTTTGACATAATCCTTCTATCTAGTCATTACAACAAACTGGTTTTACACCCCAAGTGCAGCATCCCCTCCCCCCCAGCCTAGCAACTGCCTCCCTTCGATGAGCCCCCGTGCCCCCAAGCCAAACGCCCCCTCCCTCCGGCATCCAGCCCGTCGGGCCCATCCCCGCACGAACGCCTTGCGGCCCCCGTGAATTTGTTAAATGATCCTTAAATGAAGATTGACACCAATATTAATTAAGATCAGCTTAATTAATTAAGAAAGGGGAGGGAAAAAAAAAAGATCAGCTACACCAGGCAAATTAATTAAGAAAGGCAACAATATTATATTAGTAAAATGAAGAATTGGCTAATTACGTACTCGAGCAATAGGAGTGAAAATACTTCGGCGAGTGGGAGGTGGCCTCGTGATGTAGGGAGAAGAGCCAGAAATCAAGCAGAGCAATCCAACGGCCATGGCGGCAGCGGAGACGCCAAAGCCGACATCCATGCCGGAGTGAGTTTGGAGCCAAACGAGGCCAAGAGCTCTCCGGTGCAGAATGCGAAGTAGGCGGCGTTGAAGTAAGACGAAAGCAGATGTTGATCATGATGCTTGCGGCGCTTATTGGTAATGTTAAATTCTGAATTGATCAGCTCCGTGAGAGATGATGTTGGGCTTAAGGCAGCCACTTCCCAAGGCCACCAAGTAAAGGGCTGTGAACAATATCGCCGCCTTGAACCCTCTTGCTTCCTCACACTCCTGCTGATCAATATCATCTCTGCAGCTAATTTCATGATCAACATCTTGCAAGGCGCTGGTCTTAGTTCATCCACGTGAGCTTGGACCGCCAGTAATATGAAACCCTGCACCAAACCGTATTATTACATATTAATCATATCATTTATATATATATATATATATGTTGGGATTAATTAGTAAGCTAGGATCATTAATAGAAGCTTGGAATCATGAATTAATTACGTACGGAGAGCTCAACAAAGCCAAAAAGGAGCATGGCCCGAAAGCTGCCTAAATAAGAATCGGAGAGAGAGAAGGAAGACATACCATTGAAGTGGTATAGTAAAAAACATGGAAGTTAAAAAAGACATACCATGTGTTAAATAGTAAATGCAGAAAATAATAAAAAAAAATTACACAAAAAACGCTAGCATTTCTTGTTTTCTAATATTCTAAAAATGTCATACGTTCCTTAAAAAAAAATCGTCTTACGTAAACTCAACTTACATTCTAAACGTCATGTTGTCATTAATTTATACACAAAAACTCTGTTACCATATAACTTAAATTTCTTTTTAATCTAAATTCATATTCATTAAATTACGTATTTTAACGAAGAAGTAAGAACACTTTCAGGTTCACTCTAAAATAACACGCGTACAAAATTGAAAAAAAAGAAAGGTTTTTTTTTTTTTTTTTTTTTTTTTTTTTCACCGGGATTTTTTCAATGTTTATATGACGCCATTTTCAATCTTCTTGTTCATTGTTGAGTTAGCTTTCGATGAGTGTATATAATTAGGATTTGCCCACTCCAATTACGGATAAGTAATATATCATAAGTCACTAAGTACGCTAAACAATAAAAAAAAAAGAACATATATAATTGTAGATCCGATTGAGGAAAACAACCCAGACATCTAAATCTGGGTAGATATCTATGAGAAAACTTAAAAATTAACAAAAAGAAGAAGAGAAGGACAAATACTACCCGAGATCAATTTACGCAAAAAAAAAAAAAAAGAAAAAAAAAACAAAGAGTAAAATAAAAATAAAAATAAAATATAGAAAGGAAGAAAGAAAACTAAAAGGTCTACGGCTAGGACTCTCGTAATTAAATCAAATGAGTACAAAACATGTATAAAAGTTCTATTAGAAAAAAAAAAAAGAAGTTAATCTTAATAATACGTACATGATATTCTTTTACGGTAAATTGGAGAATTTATGAGTAGATCAGTCATATTTTTTTTTTCAATTAAAAATTTGCAGTTCGACATTGTTGGTACAAATACATGATTGTTAATAATCTAAGATTAATATTAGCATTTTCTTATATTAGAGATTGATGAAGTTTGAACCCGTTTCACATAGCTTTGCTTTTAATTTTGAAGACTTGCGTTTAGATTCTTAATCAATCTATAATAAGTTAGGGTGTTCGATAAATGTTAGATTCTAAGAATTTAGTCCCGATTGTAGGATCAACTCAGTACAAGATTCCATAATAGCTTGAATAATTAGTTTATTACCTCAACAAATTAAGTTGATAGATTCAGCCAATCAAATAGTTTAATTTCCAATACATGTTTATTATTATTTTTTAATGTGAAAAAAGTTATGATATTTTCCCATTTTGTAAAGTTCTTTGTATGTTAATCATTTTGTATAGTTGTAAGGATGAAATACCGTATTACGGATCATTAAATTTTTATTAAACTTCTTTTTGTTTGCAAATCCTAATCACGTTATACTTAGTTTCTTATGAAACCCACTTCTATAGGGATTCACGTTTGTTTTTCCAAATCGCTTTATCTCCTAATTCTAGTTGGTGTTTCGTAAATTCAACTTAGATTCATATTCGAACAAGTTACATATCACATTAATATATATATATATATATATATATCAATTTGTTAGTACTCTTTTTGCATTCCACAAATACGTACCACTCAACAAGAACTGAGAGAGCTGAGGACTTGAAGAAGAAATAAAAGGTTTGTTTTTCTTTTTGAACTACTAATTAAGACTTCAATTATCTTTGTTTGCGTTGGTTGGAGTGGTTTTATTTTTATTCTATTTATAACTTTTATCTTTTATACTTTTACTTACTTATTATCGAATGTTTTTTTTTTTTTATTTAGAGCATAAAAAATGGTCAAATTAAATGTTTATATTATGGCAGTTAGATTATAATTACAATTCTTATTTAAATGATTTCATTAATAGATCATGATAAATATAATAGTCACATTCATATTCATTATCTATTACGTACAAGTCCTGTGCATGCACTTTTGCTTTTTTTTAAATAGAAATTAATTTGTCTATTTTAAATCGTTATATTAATATATAAACATTGAACAGTACATATAACCAGTTTCAACAAGAACTGATCAACACGAAGAAGAAGATGTGTGCCGGGGATATCATTACCGATCATCAAGCAGCTACTACTTGTAGGCGTTTGAAGATCGTATTTAAGAAAACGACGTTAACTGATCAGCCGACAAGTATTCACGAAAACATGAACACAAATCACGATGAAAGTCGTACTAGAAACTCTTGCAAGCGATTAAAGATTGTTTTCAAGAAACCAGATACTTGTGCAGATGATCATGAAAGCATGACCAAAAAGCATAGTATGAGGATAATTATGAAGAAAAAGGGTTTGAAAATGGTTTCGTCACCCTTCTACATACCGAAAAACGAGGAGGTGAAGCCGTTAGGTGAGGACGCTTACTTCCCAGACGTTGGGTGTGGCAGACGGCGTCAGTGGCTGGGCAAAACAAGGCATCGACTCCGGCCACTACGCCCGCAAACTCATGAAGAACTCGGCTGATGCAGTGGTAGCTCTAAAAGGAACTGACGGAAATCCGATAGGTGATCCTGAGAGGATTCTCCAGGAGGCTTTCTCCAACACAACTGGCGTCCAAGGGGCGTCCACGGCTTGCATAGTCAGCCACAACGACGGGGTTTTACGCGCCGCGAATGTCGGGGACAGCGGGTTCATGGTGTTCAGGGACGGGAAAATGATGTACAAATCGCAGACTCAGCAGCGCCGCTTCAACTGTCCCTACCAGTTAGGGAACCACAGCTCATGCGACCGTCCTGATTCTGCCATTCAAATGGAAGTCACGGTTATGGTGGACGACCTTGTAGTGCTCGGGACCGATGGATTGCTGGACAACATGCACGTCGAGGAGATTGAGAAAATCATTGCGATGACGATGGTAGCGAAGGCAGAGAGAGAAGGAAAGACGGTGGAGGAGAAGTTGGCGAGGGAGATAGCAGAAGCCGCGTATTACAAGTCGTTGGACAAGTATGGCGATTGTCCTTTCGTGAGAGCTAGTTTATTGGAGGGGAAGCATCACAAAGGAGGAAAGGTGGATGATATAACTGTTGTGGTTGGGAGGATTATCCAAAACTATGATCTCCACGTAATTATTCTGTTTAACTTTTTTATTTTTTGTTCATGTGTTTAAATCGCAGATATGATATTTAATATGGAAAACTCAAGTATGCTTGTTTTGTTTCACGTATTTATTGATCTATTTTGTTTGCAGATCAAGATCAACTCGGACCAAAAAAGTACCCCGGAGTGAAGACGGTCAACGCACGAAGATGATTGTACGAGGCTTACTTTTGAATTTTGTTGATTTGCAGGGGTTGTTACTTTGCAAGCATAGGCACTCTTTTTCCCTTGCTAGGTTTTTCCCATAGGGTTTACTAGCAAGGTTTTTAATGAGGTCTATCATAGATTCTGACTATCAAATGCGTGGTTTAGGCTTTGTTTTATGGCGTCAGTTTCTGCTTTGCATCGTTTCCCGCTTAACATATATACAAGTTTAGTTTTGTTTCTAAGATCGTTCTTGATATGTAATTAGAACGCATGATGTTGGATTTGCTTTGATATTTTCCATTCTCTTTTTTATTTTTTATTTTTTCGTTTCACTGGTATTTTGTCATTGTTTATATGACGCCATTTTCAATCTTCTTGTTCATTGTTGAGTTAGCTTTCGATGAGTGTATATAATTAGGATTTGCCCACTCCGATTACAGATAAATAATATATGATAAGTCACTAAGTACGATAAGTAATATATGATGAGTTACTAAGTACGCTAAACAATAAAAAAAGAAACATATATAATTGTAGATCGAGGAAAAGATTCTAACTATCAAAGGCGTGGTTTAGGCTTTGTTTTATGGCGTCAGTTTCTGCTTTGCATCGTTTCCCGCTTAACATATATACAAGTTTAGTTTTGTTTCTAAGATCGTTCTTGATATGTAATTAGAACGCATGATGTTGGATTTGCTTTGATATTTTCCATTCTCTTATTAATAATATGTTGGGAGTGGGTAGATGATGAGGGTGCTACGGGGGTGCCAACTTAGTTGGGATTCTCTGGTGCACCCCCTGACCCCTATCACCCAACAACCTCAGTATTTAGATTTGGATTGTACAGCATTCTTTTCTTGGATTTTTATTTTGTTTATACATACTTTTGTATTAATAAGTAAATCATTGTTATTGTTTTTTGACATCTTAAGTCAGATGCCCTAAATACAGTGTATACTTTTCTCATAAAGGTTGATTCGAAATATTTCGCCTATTGAAAGCGCAGTAAAATATCATTGCGATACTTCGAAGTCAAATTTTTGACATAAATTATATCCTTCTGTCTAATCATTACAACAAACTGGTTTTACACCCCAAGTGCAGCATCCCCTCCGCCTCGCGGCCCCCATGAATATGTTAACATTGCCTACAGGACAAATCATAGAGATTGACACCAATCGGAAATAGAGAATTGTATTCAGTTTTCTGTCTTGTTTCCAAGTAGAAACTGCGTGTCACATAAAAATAATTACATTCCTCACAAAGGAGACGCAAAAAGCCGATTGGCCTATTCATCAAGACCATACTCTTCACCGAAGTACTTGTCAACTAGACCATTTGCCATGTTTCTAAGGTCTTCGTTTTCATGAAATTGAAATCTCTCCATGGCATCAATTCCATCCTCATGCTCAACCAGCTTTGGTCCCTCTCCATTTGGCATCCCCCTCAACACCTGCAC